TGTCTCGGAGAAGAAAAGGTGCAAAATCATGCATCTCTCTCTCTCTCTCTCTCTCTCTCTCTCTCTGCGTGTTTCTGCAGAGAACAGCTGCTGATCGTGTTTTGATGGTTGAATCTCTCCATCATGCAGGCTAAGGAAATGAACTCTTGGGATGTTTGACATTGTTCATGGGAAAGTGTTTTCTTGACTGTTGTCTTAGATTCCTCGTGTTTCTTGTGAATGTTGATTTTGTCTTGTTTGAGAATAAATACACTTAACCCATTTGTTCTTTGACCTAATTTCATGTTGTTTATCTGTGATTAGCTCAAGAGTTTATCTGTGCTTCTCCTTCTTTCATTTACATCGAAAAGAAGAACAAAAAGGGAAAAGGAATTAGACAAAAGACAGAAACAAAACAAAAGTACAAAAACTAATAAAGTAGCAACATGAATGCCCGAGTTGGATCAACCTTTTATTCTTTGTTCGTGTGTCACATAAACCAATGTTTGTTTCACGGCCTCCTTTAAAGTTTGACAAGTCTTTTCGCAGTAGGAAAGGACGCATTAATGGATCTTTATTTTCTTGTTCAGATTCAACTGTTCCAATGTATAGGAGCTTAGTGGCTTTGCCATGGGGTTGACTTGACTTTGATGGTCCGAGTACCAGACTTTGTCGAGAAAAAGTCTAATTGTACTGTATAATTTTTTGATGAAAATATTGACCATAAAATCATGTTGGCTTAAGTTAGATTACCAATACAAGTATAAAAAAAAATTAATTAATTTAGCTGATAAAGAAGGTTTTGATTATTTATCGTAAGATTCTTAGTTTAAATTATATCTTCATCATTTACTTTTTATAAAAATGAAAAGAAGATAAATTTTGCTATGAATCCCAATCGTTTGATGTCTTTATTTAGCTTTAGATTAGGCAATCATCAATTATTAATTCCACTTTAAATTTCTTACTTAGGCACAAATGTCACTTTTGGATTGTGTTTGAGGATTTCATTGTTATTTCAAACACAAAAATATAAGAATATCTAATGTGATAATTGTAGACGATTTCAGGATAACTCTTAGATGACTCCATGGTGACTTTAAGATGACTTTGAGATCGAGGTGTTGATCTCTTGAGGTATTACCTATATTAAGATAAAAAAAATTTTTGATCCGATTCTTTTGACGCTCAAATTAATAATCAAGATCCGTAATAGATAAGAAATTTTCTTTTGAAAAATAACCTCCGGCTTTATGTCATATGGGTTAACTTTTATACATGGTCTCGGAGGGAACAATATATAATTATCTCAATATATTTTTTTGATATTTTATCTACGTAAACGATAAGAGAGATAATCTTAAACGATTTATTCATAATTAATATATTTTTTATTATATTATTTAATAGAACATGCTGTCGTGAGAAGAGTTTATGAGTCGTCGAATTAAAAGCCGAAACCTGTAAATGAAGGATGCGACTCACTTGTCATGTCGTAGTGTCAATATCAACCTAATAATGGCACCACCACATCCAAACATTAGCCTTCAAGTTAGTGACGACGGAGGGTGCAATGAATGAGGATACGAGGACACCATGAGCGACTCTTGCGTTCCCATAACCGGGAGAGGGATGTAAGTAAGGAAGGCCTCATGCATGACTCGAGCCGCGTTATGGGGATGTCTCTAATTTGCCATCCCGCCGCAATCCGATGCGTTATTGACTTCCTTTTCACAGAGATGCCGAGCACATCACGTAAACTATTTTATTTCATTTAATGGACGAAAGGGGACAGCTCGAGAACAAGAAGGAAGGATAGGAACATCCATATTTCAAACATCGAAATCGAATCGAATCAAATTCAAGATCATACGATTTGATTCACATTTATAGATATTAAGAATTAGAATGCACATCATCATAATGTGAAATCGAACGTAACTTATAAAATCTGATATAAGTTTAATGAATGAATTAATCTTAATTTAATCCTCTAACAAAATTACCACATCAAAACGGCGGTAAGAGAGAGTGCGGCGGAACGAGTCTTTCTTTGGCGCGGGCGACTCGTCGCCAACCTCGACGAAACGGATAAGGCATTGCCGTGTGTCCGTACTTGAGGTACAGGTTCGGAGGACGCGATCCGCAGGACCATCACATGCTCCTCCCATCATCATACCCTTGCATCCATCTCTTCTTCCTCCTCCCTACTTCACATCCTCATGCACTCGCCACGCCATAAATTAGCATACACGAATCACCCACGGCTTCACTGTTTTTTTCTTTTTATTTTTACCATCTCAAAAATACACACCCAAAAATAATAATCGCATTATGTTAAAAGAAAAGCTTCTTTTTCCATTTTCCATTTTCCATTTTCCATTTTCCATTTTCCATTGGCTTAGGAAAATTCACAGTCACTCGCGGTCACATATCTTACATCGAGGGTCACCGGCTCTGGAATCGCGCCACGTGTCCAGTTCTACCGGTGTGAGTTGCCGGTCGTCCTCGGTTGCCGCAGTAGCTCGAGCAGCGATTCCGCCTGGTTTTGGTTTGAGCGTTTAAATTGGATTAAAAGAGGAGTTAGGGGAAGGAAATAATTACAGGAAAAAAAAGAAGATCGATATAAGTAAGAGGTGGGGTCGCCGTCGGCGAGCTGAGGTTTACCTTCTCCTTGGCCTTCTTGGTGCCGGACTGGGAGAGGTCGACGAGAGGGGGGATGGCGCCCTCGTGGGCGACCATCTTGCGGTAGACGGCGCTATCCTTGCAGATCTCGAGGAGGGAGCGGACGGCCGTCTCCTTCTGCCGCGGGGTGCCCCTCTCCACCATCTCCACCAGAACAGGGATGCCGTCCTCGTCCACCGCCGCCGCCCGCCCCTCCGCCACCTCCACCACCGCGTGCAGCACGTACGCGGCCTTGTCCACCATGCCGGACTCCGGGTCGGCCATCAGGTCCAGGAGCGGCCGCACGATTCCGGCCTCGACGGCCCGGGCCTTGTTCTCGCGGGAGGCGAGCAGGGTGAAGAGGGCGGTGGCGGCGTCCTTCTTCCCGCGGGGGCCGCCAAACTCGAGGAGGGCCACCAGGGGAGGGATGGCGCCGGAGCGGCCGATGGCAGCCCGGAGGTCGTCGAGCTGGGCGAGGCGGAGGAGGGCGCAGGCGGCGTTCTCCCGGGCAGCGGGGGTGCCGGTTCGTAGGATGCGGATGAGCGGTCGGATGGCGCCGGCGCCGGCAATCGGGGCTTTGTTCTCGTCGCATAGGGAGAGGTTCAGGATGGCGGTGACGCCGTGCTCCTGCAGCTGGGGGTCCGGGTGGGAGAGCAGCGCGACGAGGGGCCCGACGGCGCCGGCAGCCGCGATGCGCAGCCGGTTCTCCGAGCTGTGCTTCGCGAGGAGGCGGAGCTCCATGGCGGCGCGGCGCTGCGACTCCACGGTGACGGAAGGGGACTCGATTTCAGAGATGAGCCCGCGCACCACCTCGTCCGAGTAATCAGCGGCGCAGGAGATGAGAAGCCGGTGGAGTCCGCCGCCAGACGAAGAAATCGACGAGGTGGGCGATCCGGAGGAGGGAAACTCGCCGGAATGGTCGCTGTTGCAGTCGCTGAAGGCGCCGGAGGAGTCGCCGCTGTCGCTGTAGCTCCGCCCCATGTACCGATAGCTCGACGGGCTCTCCGCCTCCATCCGACCTCGACCAAATCCGCTCGAAGAACAGTACAAACAAAGTAACCTTCGTTGGTGGCGGACGACGCTTTACCCTCGCCGCTCGCAAGTGGGGAAGGCGGACCGGAGGGAGGTAATAAAGGGTAGGGGTCACGTGATCGTCACGTGAGACGACCGCGACCGTACCAAGCCGAGCAATCTCAGTGGCGCCGGCGCACGTGGGGTAAGGCCCGACGCGTGTGGCGTTGATCTGCGGTTACTGGTAAGGAGAGAAGACAGCCAACGGCACAGCACCGGTCGGAAGACCCCACGCCGCCCTCTTCCTCTTGCCTTGTGGCTGCTAACAGCAGCTACAGATTCTGGCACTCATTTATTCCCACTATTCATTTTAGGGGTTAGAAACAGCTCTGTATTATCTTACTAGGAAAGAAGAGAGACAATGCACGTCATTCTCATTGGTGGCTGAGTCAAAAGAGAAGCACCAAAGCATGCAGCATCGGCGAAGTCCATCGCACGCATTCTTCACTCGCGCTTTTCCGGAGTCTTCCATGGATAAAAGGGGGTTTCTGTGGCCTCCCATCTTACTTTTAAAGTTGGGAGTGGTTCCATATCTCACTAGATAACTCATGTCATCATACTTGGGAGATGATTGGTGCTTGCATTTGCCGAGAACAAGCTCGCGGACCCTTCTTCCAGTTACTATTGGAAGAGGTATTGGTCAGATTCGTCGCTCGTTGGTAAATGAATCAAAAAAGTCACCTGCGGAAATGGCACGAGTTGCAGATGATATAAATTGGATCTCAAGACAATCGATGGAAAGATTCCTAAGCCTCGCTCGGTGGATGCAGTTCAAAGACTCCTTTTGAAAGGGAAGGGAAGCTACGGGGAAGACTCTTCTATCTACCCAAGTCTCCTCCTCGTGCATTAAGGTTTACTCATTAATTTCGGTGAATCATTTTCCAGATACACTGTAATTTATCTGAGAAACTTTCTTGAGGAGTGGCATACTTCCGTCGCAGGGCGTCGGGTTTAGGCTTCGAAGATGGACATGTCTTTTAGCGGTGTCGGTAGCGGCGCCAAGAAGCTTAGTGTAGGGACTCTTTAATTGCAGGACGCCATGGGTCCTTGAGCTCATGTGCTTGCTGCGGTCGAAGCATAGGCGCAGTGAGACAGACTGAGCTGTAGCAATTGCTTCGCTTGTGGTGATCTGACATCTTTTTTTTGCGAGTCTCTTGATTAGATCATTGTTACTTGTACATAGAATTCCTTATACTGTGGAGAGAATCTTCAAAACAGGGAGAAACCATCAAGTCTGATGCATGCGAGAAATAAGTTGTGATGCAGACACATCAATCTCTGGTTCGGTGGGGGGCCATTGCTATTGATCGCAGCATTTGGCAGGTCAACGGATGATGCGAGTCTGTTCCTGAAATTTAATGCACATGAAGGTGGAGGGCATTGCATGTGCATCATTCACCGTACGCATCTTCTGTTCCAAAGTTACAAGCCGCCATTCCTGGTTCTTCTTGTGTTGTTCTTCTTGTCACTTTGTGAGACACTGCCAATGTGAGGAATTAAAGACGATGGAACCCCATCCACAGTATCATTACTCTCCACAAAAAAGGAATAGCTCAATCGGCGGGGGCTTACTTGCCACATCCCTCTCCTGGCACACCACTCATCCATCACTCATGGCTATCCTCTCTTTGTGGCACGCTTCTTTGCTGGTCCACAAGTGATGCCGAGCAAATGGCTATCGTCTCTTTGTGACTCCACAAGTGATGCTGAGTAACTATCATGATGGCCACTGATGACGACCATTTAACATTATGGCAGAGTTCTTCAGGTAATTCATGTACTGCCCTTTCTTTAGGAATCCACTCTGTTAATATTTAGACTGCAATGAGCTTAACAAATTAGGAGGACATGATTCACCTATCTGTAGATTCGATCGATACATTAAAAATATTAGATTTTTGGATTGAATTAGTGTTCAGATTGATATACGATAACTCTGACTGGTTTGATTCAAACTCGTCGAACGAATGAACACATCCTGGTTTGATTCACTCTGGTTTCAGGGAGGATGACAAATGCTACCAAAAGTTAGATTGAACACATCCTGCGAAGCCAATCGTCACCTTTGATCTGCTTGGCCGGAAACAACGGTAAATGCCAATTTAAAGCCATCAACCTCAAAAGAATTTTAAAAATTGTATGAAAGAATTTATTCTCTTATATTTATGCATGTAGATTGTATTAGATTATGTGATTCTATTTAATTAGGTAATATATATTATATGTATAATTGAATTTTGATTATAGTTATTATAGAAACTCTTCTAATAATTTATCCTAAATTCTCTGTTCTCACCTATAAATAGACATAATTTTATAAACTAAAAAGATGTATATGAATGTAATTGAGATATTAAGGTTTTTCTCTTAATTTTACTAAACCATCAATCTAAGTGGTAACGTGAAAGGATATAAAGAAATGAGAAGATCTAGTTCTCTTTACATATTGATATTTCTGATCGATAATGCTCTTGTACATCTGACAACATGATTATAGATTTTATAATAATAAATTATTAGCCGTACATCATCAGAATCTATATAAAGAGAGATGTAGGAATCGGCCGAAGTCGTGGGAATATTATGTTCAGTGAGTTCAAAGGTCTTTCGAGATCCGATCGTGAGGTCTCTCACATACAGACAGCAAACCGTGTCCTGTAGAATTCAAAGGCACTTTTGAGCTTCGAGGAAAAGAAGATCTTAAAAGTAGATGAATATGAGATTCTCAGAAAACGTATCTTTTAGAACACCCATGAGCTAGCAAGCTGTGGGAAACTTTGTTTTGGGTGCAGAGTACTCTGTCATGGATTCCAGTGTAATGGATCCCATGTTGCATCACATGAACCAGCCCATAACTTGGAATTCAAGACGTTCATGTCATCAAACGAAACAAAGAGGAGAAGTTGAAGTTGGTTTGTGGAAGCACATGTTGTTGCGAACAAACATGTTAAAGCGGAATATTCTTTTTCCTCTTTTTGTATCAAAATGAGTTCCTCGTCAAAATACCAACTTGATATCCAAATGAAAATATCAACCAGCATAACATAAACAATAGAACAAAAATTACCAAATCTTTTAACATGAAAAATCCAATGTGGGAAAAACCACGGGACCGTAGTCCATCTCAAACTTCCACTATCAATAATACTGATAACAGGTTTACAGTAGGTCTTCTCTAGAATAACTAAAGGATCAGAATAACATCAAGAACATAGATCATGTATCAAGAATAACATAGGATGAATCTCCTTCAAAAAAAATTCTAGGTCTCACAAAATAGATATCACAGGAAAGTACCTTAGAGAGGGTAAACTATAGATCAACACCGTTAGGATTATAGAGTTTGCTACAAGGATTCTTCACATAAAATTTGGGCCGAAACTGACAACGTTTGACCATAGATCGTCAAGCAGAAAACTTAGAAACCTAATCTTTCTCTCTATGTTTCTCTCTCCTCTTCATGTCACCGCCGTAATCTGATCAATTTTCCACACATTCTCTCTCCTCTTTTTAATTTATTTCATTTGCTGATTTGGGCTCAATGACCCAATTGTCCAAGGGCCGGACCCAACACATATGTATTTCTTTGTACAAGCAACCTTCTAACGTGTGTTCCTAATGTACGCACTCCATTGGCTACCGAGAGAACATCTCCACCTTTACCGGTTGTTGATGAAGGCCCTAATATGTGTTAGCATCTCACTGGTCCGGGCGTCAGATGTATGGTGATTGTGGAGCACTTGGAAGGCATGCCCAACTCCAGCAAAGATTGCCTGTTCGACACTCTTGCCTGCGCTGCTCATGGCCTCGCAGAGCTCCAAGTTCCTGTCCCTTAGTATGTCCAACTCCGAGACGCATACTAGCAGAGGAGGAAGCCTCAAGTCCTCCAACTTGGGGGAGCTCTTGGCCAGGGGGTTGCACCAGGGGTGGTCCCGATCGGTGCCCGGCGGCAACGCCATCCTCCAGTAGCAATCCGACGTCGTCAAGCTAAGCGCTGATCTCGAAGATTGCATCGTGTTCTTCTCCGACGAGGTCCGAGCCACCCCACCGAAGAAAGGCTGGATCAGGATCACTCCCCTGAGGCAGGCCGGCACGCCGAGCGATCCCAGCTGCACGGCCACGTTGTAGGCTATGGCCGCGCCGGCGCTATCTCCGCCGAGGAACACACGAGCGAAGTCGCAGCGGGCACGCCACCATCCGAGCTCGTCCGGACCTCGATGGCTCGCCTGCTGCGTCACCCATCTCATCACCGCGAGGCCATCCTCGTAGGCCGCGGGCAGGCGGTGCTCCGGGGCGAGACGGTAGTTCACCGAGAGGACCACGCAACTCGCCTGCGAGGCCAAACGGGCCAGGAACTCATGGTAGCATCTCCATGAAGCGGAGCCGACGCAGAACCCGCCGCCATGGAAGTACACGAGCAAGGGCAGCTTCTGCTTCCGGAGCTCAGGAACGTAGAACCGGGCCCAGAGGCCGGCGGAGTGGCCGACGGCCACGTCCTTGCTGACCACGTCAGGCTCTGGGGCCCACGTGCATGGAACCTCGACGACAGCGGGCAGGCGTTCGACATGGCCATCTCTGTAGACTTTGATGAGCCCCTCGATCTCTTCGATCACAGGGCCAATGTCTTCTTCCCTAGGATGGAAGTTTCTCCTCCGGTCACCGATCAGTTGGGGAAGGGCTCCCATCCTTCTCCTCCCGGTAAGAAGAGTGGCAAGAACAGGAAGCTACAAAGCAATAGGGATGACCTCCTCTCTCCCTGTCGAACCTGCTAATCTCATCTCCATTTCCGAGACCACCTTATACGAGTGAAATTAAGGATCTCGTTCCCATGGTGTGGTCAGAAGGGAGAGGGAATGTTCTTATCGAGTGCAAGCAAGGGGGTGTCATTCCTGCCTTGCGTGTGACAAGTGCCACATTACGTATACATTCTTTACTCCGGTGAATGCAGCATGGCAGATCGATGCATCCGAAAGAGGCTGGATTCATTGTTTACCTTCCAAAGTCCTGAGTGGCTTAATCATCTACCATTACACAACAAGTGGGAGTGACTGTGTTGGTGGTGGCAGTCTCCAATACCCTCTCTTGTGGCCAAAACTCATGCTCCCTGGCCTAACCCAAAGCCCTAAAGGACTCAAAACTCATCGATTGGCTTTTCCTTAGGAGGAAGATAAATAATATATTAATGGCCTAACTTAGGAGTTGACGTCTCCCTAACTTCTCCGGAACAAAGAGTAGTATCATATTAGCCTAATCCAATTGGCAGCTTTGGAATGAGAGGTGATGGTGCATCGACATGATTGGGATTTCTTTAATAAACTAAAGTAATCAGTGCACTAAGAGCAGTACATTCATGGGTGGTAAGTGGAGGAGGCTGCAAACTCAACAGTCCATATCAAAAACATGCATGGGGAGGGAGATACGAACACTAGAAAATTAAAACAATTAATAGGATAATAATTTAAAAATATATTAAAAATTAATGTAAGGTTAATGAGGTTCGATAGTTTATTATCTGTATTTATATACAAATTAAAAAAATTATATTAAATTAATTATAAAATGCTTGAGTTATGCTCACTTAAATATAATCTTTTTATATGGTGCTGGCATCTTCTCTCACCCTCTTTAATAATTTTAGAAAGTATTTTTTTTATATTTTAGAAAGTATTCATCATTTCTTATTCTTTATCATCAAAGTCTAAAGATATATAAAATGTTTATAAAAAAACTAAACCTTTATCCTATGCATAGTAAGAAAAGAATTGAGCTTTTCTTATCTCAATCTTCTTTGAATATGGTAAAAAGTTCAAAAAATAACTGAAAAAAGAAAAAAAGAGTCGTGGGTTATTAGCTGGGTACGAAGGATAAGTTCAAAATAGAGTAGAAGTGTATAAGAGTTAATCTTTAGGTCTAGGGTTTAATTTTATTAGGTCTCATTTTAAATTTTTATTTTACTTTCTTCTCTTACTAATATAATTTTAATATTATAGCAACTTAAGTCTAATTTGATTTGATAAAGATGATATTTTTTATCTAAACTCAGTTCCTCGATCTTAATTATGTATCGCAACATTTTTAATATAACACTTGTATTTGATTTTTATCTCCATTTAATTTTTCATTATTTCATCCATGTCAAAGTAGTTTATTATCTTCCATATACATGATGTATAAAACTAAAACTTCCTTACTTTAATCAGGTCAAACTCATTTAAGTCTGAGATTCACTTAAGGTCAATTACAATTCAACCATCACTTTTTGTTACTAAATATGTAGGCTTCTTATCGTAACTTAATTTCAAGTCCGCTAATACACTTAGGCATGTTGCATCGAATGATTATATCTTTTTACTATAAAATATATTTAAAATAAATATCAATGTTTATGCATACTCAACTAACATTTTCGTAGAACATTATAAATATTTTTTAAAAAAATATGTATTTCAACTTTAAAAGTAAAAAAAAAGCATATCATTTTTTATATTTATGAAACATAGACATCATAAATCATATCATTAAATAAGGATAATATATTTATATTATTTATGCTTCTTAGCATATTAATTGTAATTCAATAGGTATCAACCTCATGACAAAATGTTTATAAAAGAACTAATTTTTAATTTTTTTATGAATCACAAAAATAAAAACCTAAAATATATGGGATGTTTGTAGGATTCCATATCTTTTAAGATGACATGATCCATATGAAAGTGAAGAATATTATTATTTATAATTCATAATTCAAAGAATCTTCTCTAATAATACGATGACAACAACAATGAAGAAGAGTAAAATAAACCCAAACATGTCAGGAGACAAAACAAGGATTAACAGCCAAAGTTTCACTTGCAAGAGAGTCCAATCACCACTGTTTCCTATCTGTCCTATATCTCCTCGTCCGACCAGCTTTCTGCAATTGGAAGCAACCGCAGTTTAGATGTTCATAATAGAGAGACGAAGAACACTCTACTATTACTTGTCAACATTTCAGCTCTGCCTGCTTTTGGTTTCTGATGAAGTGCAAGCTTGGCCATGTTGACGTTTTCGAAAGCAACAGAAACTTTTAGGTGAGTCTCTTGATAACGAGTTCTTAGCTAACTGATGCGATTACACGAAACCAACGACGAACCTACAGGAGGATAAGAATCCATGGCGACCATCTCATGTTAATGATCCATCCAAAACTCTGTAAGACGGTATCGCTTACTTGTTGACTTCACGGTAACAGCTGGTAGAATGAACTAAAGACGCTAGAATTCAATTGATCGATGCTCAAAATCATGCTGAACTTGGAAGTTATACAGACCACTGTGCGATGACTTGATCAGCAGACTACGCTCGGATCATATTTCAACTCGAGAGCTTCCGTCAACACGGGTAATCGACTAGGTCAGCCTCTCAAAGAGATGGGTTATCTTCGCGAAGTTTCCCGCCGCAATAGTTCAAAGCCTTGGCCTCGAAGCAATGGAAAACCCCCGCCCCTTACACACCACCACCGTCGTCTCTCCCTCTACGTGAAACGGCCCACTGCTACGCCATATATATAGTGAGACGCGCTCGAGAAGGACACATGATAGAAGAAGAGCGTGGGAGAAGTTAGGAGAGGGAAGAGGAGATGGGACGGAAGCTGGACGTTCTGCTGGGGAGGAGGAGTTCGAGGCAGATGCCCATGCTGAAGTCCCTGTTGAGCCTCACCGTCTGCCGCCTCGCCGTGCTTCGCAACCGCCGCCAGGCCCGATGCGACCAGGCACGGGAAGACGTTGCTCAGCTCCTCCAGCTCGGCCATGTCGACAGCGCCCTCCTCCGCGTACGTGACCAAACATCTCATTCGCCAGACACCCATTCACCGCGATTGCTTCGTATGTGATACTGACGTCCTCCTCCTCAGGTGGAGTATGTGATCAAGGAGCAGAACATGTTGGACGCGTTCGCCATGGTAGAACACTACTGTCATCTTCTGGGTGAGAGGGCCGTCCTCCTGGATCACAGGTCACTACGCTTCTCCTCCGTGTTTGTCTTGGGTTGTCACGGAACCAACTCTTGCCCTGGTTGATCAAACCGTATTCTTCTCCGACGCAGGGAGTGCCCGGAGGAGCTGCGGGAGGCGATCGCGAGCCTGATCTTTGCCGCGTCGAGATGCGCGGAGTTACCGGAGCTGCACGAGGTCCGAGGCATCTTTTCCTCCAAATATGGGAAGGAATTCGTGTGTGCCGCTCTCGAGCTGCGTAACGACTGTTGTGTCAATGCCAAGGTTGTATAGGGTTATGTTTAGCTCTCATTGAAAAGGGGCCCTTACTGATCTTGGATCTTCTTCGTGCAGATGATTCAGAAGCTGTCGACCGCGCAGCCAAGCCTGGAGATCAGACAGAGGGTGACGAAGGAGATCGCCGCCGAGAAAGGCCACAAACTGGGATGTTATGATCCCTCTTCTGATGTTGCAGAGGTCAGTATATTATACCGAATCTATCTCGCTTCTCAAGCGGCTGTTCCAATCGAAGCAAACTGAAGAAGGATATATGAACTCTTTGATTCAGGGAGAACCCGTCGTGAAACCACCGGTGGATTTCATTCGGGATCAGTTCTTACCAGATGAGAATCTTTGGCCGAGGAGCCACAGCCATCACAAGTATAACGATGCGGCTGGGGCAGCACAGGCGGCTTTTGAATCAGCTGCCTATGCTGCGGCAGCTGCAAGGGCTGCAGTGGAGCTTTGCCGATCGGAGTCCCAAGGAAAAGGCTCCGATGACGAGAACAACGCTGGTAGCCACAAGACAAGTGCGATCAAGGAAGCTAAGACGGCCAAAGCAGAGACTTCTGCGGGCGCTTACGGTTCAGATGCAGAAGAGGGGACAAAAGCAAAACAGAAAGATTTGCTTCGAGAAGAAAGATTTAGGGAGAAGTGCATCAAGCAGCAAAGGAGGATATCTTCTTCGAGCTCCGACTCCAGTGATGAGGAAGATAATATGAGTTGGAATGCGCAACACTCAACAGGAATCAATATAAAGAATATTTTGTTTGATGAAAGTGGTCATGAGATAGGCAGGAACGAGACAGGGAGAGGCGGGAGTTTAGCAAGAAGAACATTATATGTTGGCAACGAACAGCCGAGTCGCCGAGGGAACAATGGGCACGAAGGTTCAGAACAGAGGCAGTTCGCTGCATCTTTAGAAGACGAGCACGGAGAAGAATACGACTTGCTTCCTCCTGCCTACCGCAGAGGAAAAGAAATAAGGTCCGGTGAAAAGTACATCAATTCATTGCATGAAGAGACAAACAAGGTGGGACTCAGATCGGGAACCTCGGGCAATAATGCAATGTATAATAATGCAGAGAACGCATACCTGGATTCTGTAGAATTGCGCCGACTGTATTAGAGTTCAGGAAAGAAACCCATCTCAGTGAGGACAAGATGACTTTAGGGGGCAAACAATAAACTCTTTTCCTTGTTTAGACGAATTGAAACATGCAAAATGAGATTTTGGCTGTCTCAGTGTCAGAGTTAAGAGTGGGGTGTGGTATTGAACTTGTGCTCATGTTTGTCATTGCAACCAAAAAGAAGTTGGTCCTGTAGGTCCTATAATAAAAATCTAACAGAAGACAAGAAGACGACCAATGTTAGTAATTTCTTTTGCTGATATAATGGCTACTCATAAGAAGTTTCTATGACAAGATCAACATCATTTGGGCTGCTACCAAAATTAGCAACGGTAAAAGAAGACAACATAAAAGAACTTCTTAACTCTTCTCTTAAGAGTGTCTAAACCTTTTAAAGATCGTATGTATATGAATAACATAGCATCATTCATAGAAACAGGTCGGTGATATCAACGGGCTGTTTTTCTTCTCTTACCAGGATTAATCAGTTCACTGCAAGATTGCAGACTCACTCCAACATCTTCATCATACTCCAGACCAAGTTCCTCCTGTAAAAGTATGAGCAAGGGTTTCAATGGAGAAGCAGAACAGTAAATTTCAGATATAACCAAGAAGATGAGCTCAAAATAAGAAAACCTTAAATTCTTTCAGGTCCTTAGGTGAGTTCTCAGTTATAGCATCCCATAACTCTTTAAATATCCTCTTACGCTTTCTCCACTGATTGATCTTCTCAGCATAGGTTTCTTCAATCACCTTTTTGTCTTCTGCCTTTACCAAAACAACCCCACTGCGCAATGTACTCAGTTTTTCTTCCATTTCCTCGACCTAGACAATGAAATTGTTTCCGATTAACTTATATTTGGATATTTCAGTTTACCAGCAAGGAACACCTTAACTAGAATGTCAATCTGATTTACCTCGCCAATTAGCTTAGCCTCCTTATCTCGTATTTCTTCCAATGTCAAATTCGAATGAAGAACTCGAATTTCTGCAAACAGAATGTACATATTTCAACTTCAGAAGAAAATCGATGCTTGCCCTCTTTTACGAGACCATAATGGATGAAAATAAATACGATGTGATTGACAAGGGTGAGATGGTTGATAACCCTATTAACACATTCGAGTATGATGTTTCCAAGCCATAGTTTCATGGCTTTATGAGGGAATAGTAGAATACCAGCCTCCACCTCGCTTATAGTTTTCTTTTGTGCTCCGAGTTCATCCTGTAATTTGCTATTGTCCTTCTTCATCTGATCCAGCTCTTGGTTATTTGGTATCTTGAAGTGATCCTGACGAGCAAGGTAGATCTTCTGTTTGCCATACTCTTTATACGAAATTTGTCCATTATCCGCTAGTGTGTCCAGTGCTTTCTGGACAGCAGTTTTTTTCAGATTATATTTCTGCAGGGCGTCAGCAACATTCTGAGAGTTCAATGGCCTATTTTGCTGGCAAAAAAGAAAATATTATTAGTCAAAAATACATAAAAGATTACAGAACTATCACTTATAATCAGTTTTCCAGCATGAAAAGGTACAGATAATATTTATTTCCTTTTAGTGTACATGTACCAAAAGGTAGATGGCCAGATAATTGTTCTAGAATGGAGGCTATGGGAAGAGGTTGATTATGTTTCCTTATTGTAGCTTTCTGCTTTCTAAAAACAGTTCCTTTATCTACTTAAAAACAAAAACAAAAAAGTCATGCAAAACAGTGGGTTTGGGAAAACAGACTTCCAAATTGTACACATTAACTTTTGGCCACTTCAAGATAGGCATGATCCATTCTTAGAGAACATCTTGACCTCACTTCTCAATACTGCATTCATAGTCATTTTCTTGTAATCTCTATACTTGATGTTATGAGATCACAACCTTTCCTTACACAAACAACCATTCAACTGTTATTATCGAAACTATAAAAGAATTCCGGAGTGATGTTTGATATGCAGACATTTCTAAGGATGCAAATGCCATTTTTTGATGTTTCAACTTTCTAGTCATATTTGGACATGAGAGCCAACAGATTATTGCAGAAGATCATATATCACCCTTCCTAGCATTTATGCTATGTTGTTTTGTAGCATTTCTAATTTATCATGCCTTTTCCTGATGCAATTCTGTAATAATCTATATTAAGCAAGTTTCCAAGAAAGATTTTCATCGATAATGATAGTGCATCTTATCTTCTTCGAGGAGATATATGAATTATCACAAGATGGCCCTGTTAAGTGGGTTACAATACATAATATATATTTGAAAACATAAAAGAGCATAACACCCTCCTAGGGAACCAAACTTTCAGCTGTATGAGAAAACCCAAGCTTACTATTAGCACCAACAAATCACCAAATTTCAATGTGAAATTTATGAAAATACTAGAAAATAAACATAGATAAATAAAAACATGCGAGAACTATTTAAAATGATACCTCTAGAACAACCTCTGGCTCTTTCTTTCAGAACTATTTGATACACACCTTTTTGAAACACTCTAGTACAGAAGTTCAAAAACTTAATAAGAGACCCCGCATTTATGACCGCTATTGTATTTGGCACTATTACTTGTAAATCTGCTTAAGCTCTTGAAAACGCTGCTAAGTCATAATGATTGCACGAGACCCTAGCTCAATGTCTAATTGTGCATCTGCGTTTACGTAATGCCCTTAATCTTCTAGACGCGAAAAATAGTGGCAATCCTATACATGAACCACATGGTTACCTTTTAAAAAGATCCATCTCTGACAAATACAACCAAGCAGACCTAGACGATGATTCTTTTACAAACCAGTGATTCATATTGTGCTGAAGCAACAATTTCTTAACTTGATAACTACATTTTGGTATACTGGGATGTGACAAGGCAAATTGAAGCCAACCAAAGACTTTATTTTTTGTTGTTGTTGTTGTTGGATTTGTAGCAGAAACACAGTTGGTTTTTACCAAGCACTGCAAATGAAAATAAGGATAAGTAAACTGCAACCCTCGTTTAGACAATTCCGCTCGAGAGTAAATGAGTAAGACATGTGAAACAAGAAATGACAAAATATTGGTGCGAATCACAACGTCCAGAGACAAGCTACCACGAAATCAGGAGCATAGGGTTGCAATAAAAGTAAATCGACTTGTGGTGTCGAGTAGCAGATGCTGAAGCTGGATTGTGGATAAGAAGTTAGGCCAAAATATAGTGAATTGCTCATCCTAACTTTATGATGCATCAAATTAGCAGAAACATTAAACACTTCACGTGCACTTAAGCGGTAAGAAGAAGACTGACCGATTAGGGCCAAACCCATAGTCGACGACATGGAAGAAAAGCGAATAAGAAAGGTAATTTTACTCAAATATCCACGCCTTAACATCATCCAATCAACATAAAAATAAAAGAAGAGTGGGATTTCCGAATGTGGATTTTGATGGAAGCTTTCGCTCACCTCATTGACGAAGCCAAGAACGATGCCTGCAAAAATATACGATCGCTCGGTTACGAAGGGGAGGATGTTTATGCGAATCAATTCGCACGATAAGAGAAGCGACGAGGATCGAGTACCTTCGACGCTATCGGATTTAGGCGGCATCTTCTTCCTCCCGTTCCTTCCTCGTACCGCCTCTCTCTCTCTCTCTCTCTCTGTTTCAATTCCCTCCAAAAGGTCATGGGCCGGTGATATGGCACATTATTGACATGGAGGCCCAAATTAGGGTTTGGCGGATGCGAGACACCGAAATATGTGTTGCCAAAGACTGCACCTAATTATAAAACAATATTTCGTGAGAAACGCCACTTCAAAGTCTTTATTAACTAACTTAACTGTCAATTATCGAGTATGTAACTTGAGACATAATGAGTGTGACATACAATAATATATTTATATCTCCAAACACTAATCGTCACCTAACCAACAACTAACTGTACCTATGAATTGGTAACTAAACACCAGTAAACAAACTCTGGTTGGTCACTATCAAAACCCAACAACAGTACAGGAAGCAACAATCGAGTGGAATTTCCTCTCATTTAATTTTCTGGGTAGCATAGTTCCGATTCCAACTAATGGCATATCGCACGGGTGAAGAAGACGAGACGGGTGGGTGGCTCTCGGCCTGCCTACCAGAAAATTACCAGTGCAAGAGAAGCTGATGCACTTTGGAAGGAGTTGAATACCGCCAACACTCGCGCCGTATGAGTTTCTCGTGCGTTAGGCGATACCAAATTGTTCTGTTCCTCGTCTTCTCTGTTTCCGAACCAACAAGAAGAAAGATGTGAACCATACATATCTCGTCGTCGGAGTTCCTTATGGAGACAATTGTTATGGAGACAATTGTGCTCGCAGCAATGTTAGATCCGTATGTTTTAATCGTGTACGCCAGACTTTAGGAATGATTCACGTTATACATACATTTAGTGTCTTCTCGGCCTTAGTTCATATCAAACCTCACCGCGTTATAAGCAATTATTTTTAGTGTTTTGTGCAGAAATTGTGTTTTATATTGACCTGCCACACGAATGTTTTTTGAAGGATTCTAATGATTCTATTGTTATAAGCCATAGGACACTGAGCCGCAGTGGAAGTTTGATGTAGCGACACCCTCCATGGCGCAGTCAGTGCTCGGAATGCGGCGACGACGACGACCGTGGCATCACTCGGCTTCCGTCGTTTCAGTGTCTTCGTTCGCCTGCTCACACGACCTTTTCTTCCACTAGTCGACAGGCCAAGTTATCGGAGCAGCGACTCCCTGGTCCAACGTTTTGGCCTCGTATTGGGGTGGTTGGCCGCTTCCAGTTTACCCTCTGTTTCCACCGCAGGCTAAAAGTAATGAGCTGCGTGGACTTTTCGACCTCAAAGGGTCCCATTCCTTCCCCACCCCACTCATCCCCTTCCTTGGTCGGATGGCTATAAAAGGCCATCCTTTGCTTGCGGAGCTCCACAACAAGCCTTGGACTCACCACTGCTCGTAGTCGTAGCTCTTGAGTTGGGAGTGATCGATGGCTCAGGGAAGGGGCAGTGCCGTGGCTCTGGGGTTGGCCCTGCTTTGCCTCCTCATCCACAGCGAGATCGCGGACGCCGCCACCTACGTCGTCGGCGACAGCGGCGGCTGGACCTTCAACGTTGTCGGCTGGCCCAGTGGGAAGCGCTTCAGGCCCGGCGACGTGCTCGGTGAGCGATCACTGCCTCTTGTGCATGCATCTTAGCCACTTGCCTTCACAGGACTGATTGATTGATTGATTGATGCGCTGTTGTTTGTCGCGTTCGTGAACTGGTGCAGTTTTCAGGTACAATCCTTCGGTTCACAACGTGGTCGCGGTGAGCGCGGCCGGCTACAGCGGTTGCTCGGCTCCCACAGGCTCGAGGGTCTTCACTTCCGGGAACGACCGCATCACGCTGGCCCGAGGAACGAACTACTTTATCTGCAGCTTCCCCGGCCACTGCCAGGCCGGCATGAAGATTGCCGTCACCGCCGTGTAGCTCCCTGGCAGATGAGATGGACAATAATTATAGTGATAGTAGCGTGCGTGAAAGATGGAGAACGATATGTCGTGTTTGAGTGGTCATTAAATAAAGTCGGTTGGTTGTTTGTGGTTGATGAGCTTTGGTTCAATGATGAGACATAACATAGCGAGAGTGAAGTGGCTTCCTGTGGACTGTGATTGCTGTGTGCTACTGGAATTAATTGCTTCTTATAATATTATCGATCTAATCTTTTCCTCTTCCTTCTGGAGACTGCAAAAGGTATTCTTTTGTGTTCCATGTGGAGTTTGGTGTTCATCGACTTCGTCATCTTCTCTTGTGCACTTGGGATTGCGTTTTCTCTGGATTACGTCATCTTCTACCTCCAGATAAGCCTCTTGAAACATAGCGTTCTCCGAGGAAAGAGAAACCGACTCGAAACCATGCTTGCCGAGGTCTACGATGAAGGAAAAGAAAACATATCGAACAATTTGTCATAACAAAACATCTGCAAGACAAAAGTTCCACAAATCCTGCCTTAATATGAAGCAGAGGCCACTGTTTACCCAACGAACGAGTGCATTCAAACATCTCTTCCCAAAGCGAGAAATTTGCTACATGAATGATTTTTCTCGACAGTGGCGGCGCCGAAATGGCAGGTGCATGCGGAGGAGTTCCCGAAATGGCAGAGAATGATCTAACCATGACTTGACGCTGAGTTGGGCCTTGGTGTTCGTGGATTTCCCATGATCTACCGATTCAAAGCCCATGGCCGAAATCCGACCCACGATGCTTTAACCCAAAGTTCACCTTGGAAGTCGACGGATGAGATTGACTCGACGTGATGCTGCCAATGAAACATGTATGCTTATACTGAAGGGATAACGTGTGCTGGGAATGTAATCTGCCAAAAGTTTTCTGCAAGTAGAAGAAACTCAATTTTTATTTCTCGTCAATAAATTAAATGGGTCTCTCACTCGGGAGCGTGATGGCCACTTTCTGCAGGCGTTCTGGCCAGTGTTTCAATAAGATATTACTGATCTGAAAACAAATGTTGCAGAGAAAGAAGACCGAGTACATGTTGGCCTCATGGTCATCATCAAGCTCAAAGAAAACACCTGCTCCTCGTCGTACTACTACGAACAAGGGCAAAACATAACCCTCACTTTAGGCAGACTATTACGACGGGTTGATGAGACGCAGCCTTGACACACACATCAACTCCACACCAGAACAATGTTGTCAAGTGACCTTAAAGTGTACTACAAAGAGTCGGGGTTTTGTTGATGCTTAAAGCAAAAGGGATCAAAGTCCAGAGTCGGGGTTTTGTTGGTGCACACCTTCGAAGGCAATGATTCTACAGCCCAACTACATTACCTACTCCCTGTTGTGTCCCAGCTTGAGATTTAGGTATAAAGATCCTGCTGGTCTTCTTCTCATTGGAACAACTAGCCAACGTTGTGGAGCTCCTTGATGCCAGCTTTTTGTGTTTGAAAATGGATGGATGTGCAGGGCATCCATTGGACCACAACTGTCCTCGAGGGATGGAAGACATCATGCTGTAATGACCGAGCATATAGAAAGAACTTTGTTAACTATATTCAAACCCATGCTCAAAGATCATCATACAACTGCCACTTTCTCTCTCTAGGGGACAAGAAAAAAAAGTGAAAAGAACAAGAGCAACTCCATCCACTCTACTCTCTTCGTAAGACTTTGTACAGCATTGAAAGCCATGATTTCTGGCACAATCACAGTGAGTGGCTGCCACACCACCCACCACCCTCCCCTGCCTCAGCCACCTTGCCTCCCCCACAGCAAAAGTGATGAGCCCAGAACAAGGAGAAATGGAAAAAGGAAAGAAATAGAAGAAAAGAAAGCCTCATGAAAAGCCGGGCCTGGGAAAGCAGATTCCATCCATGGCCTGCTTCCGCACGCTGTAAAGCAACCGACAAGATACAGAACCAGGAGCTCAGTTTCACCACTGGCGTGACCGATTTGCATGCAAGAAGAACGCATTCATCCATTACTCATGTTCGATGGTTATTGTTGCAACCGCATTTCCAGACAACCCATCCACTCCTCCATCTGTCAACAAAATCCATTCAGTTTGAACATTATCTAAAGAAGAAACCCGACATATTAGGATCAGACAGGGAGATGCTTTCTAGGTGAAACATCTCCTTTGTTCTTTTCCTTTCATTCGGGTAGGTGTGTGTATGCGTGTGTTGATTCTCGGTTTATGCTTCTTTGTAGACTCTTTTTTTGCTTTTGTCAAGGATAAAGAAGATTAAAACTGTGACCGGTATGCGGAAGTCTAAGCAGAAAAAAGACATGAGCAGTTAATAACTGTAATGAGTAGCAAGCACATCATGACTGGAGTTTGATGATATGCGGTAGTTGCCTGTACATGAATACGAGAATCAAAACGATCGGTTGAACCAACTTACCTTCATTTCTTCTGCATACTAAGCTGCGAATGAAGGAAAATAATCACATGAGTTCCTCGCTCGAAGTTCCACACTTCTCAGATCATGAAGATGTTCCAGTATCTCTTGTAGAAGGTGTATTCCCTTGTCACCTTTCTTCAAGGAACTGATACAATGCTTGAGAAACTCTCGGTCTGCCTCAAGAGCTTGCAGTCGCTCATAGATGTTATCAACCTCCTCTATAATTGCAAGCTGCTTCTGCTCTTCCGCAACATTTAAAATTGTTTCAGGGGAATCATCTATTGCCTCTTCCTTGATGCATATATCATCTTCATTTTCATTATCAATAGCATCAAAGAGAGGAAGAAGCCTCTTTCCTTTAACAATGTTTCTTTGTTCGCTATGATGCTTCCTGTTAGCTTCTAGTTCTTCTGAGAAACCATTCACATCATCATGTAAATCATCAATCAGAGGTTCACAATTTCCATTTGAAACATGACCATTTGCATCTGAAATGTTCCCCACGGCATCTAAATTTTGGTAGTCTTCATCGTCCGATATAAGAAGTTTCTTTTCCAATGCCCTTAGTTGCTCGAGGATGGAGAGTCTCTCTTCCTCAAAATCAGCCAATGATTCGTTAAGTGTAATTAGATGCTTTTCAGTGCCTTGCTCTGCCCCTGAACTTAACACAGCATCAGTAGGAGTATTTTGATTACTTTCATCAGGGCTGCAGGCAAACTCATCACCTTGTTGGAACTCAAACAAGAGGTCGTCACTGTCTTCAGCACTTGATGAAGCGGAAGATGCTCGACCCTTACCATCGACCTTGTTCTGCGCCATTTGTCTCCTCTCCTTGGCTTCGTGGCGTAGAACCTTCTTTCTGTAAACTTCAAGTTCCTTCTCTAAATCCTGTTTCTCCTTCTCCCTTTTCGTCATCAACTCATTCAAGAGCTGCAAGGCTTCCTGATCATACTCTGACTGTTCCTCCATCATCCTCTGATATTGCAATGCTTCCATCTGCATAGCAGCTTTCTCTTCTTGAAGCCTGGTTATCATTGCCATTGTTTGGTTGGCAGCAATGGCAGCAGCACTTCTCTCTTCCTCAAGCTCAGCATATAATGCACTCAGGGTCTTCCGTTCTGCTTTAAGGGCAGCTTTAAGCTGATCTCCAGTCAATGTATCGCAGCCTTCAAACTCACCAGCAACACTACCATCCAGAGACTCTGTTCCTGATTCTCTCCTTCCAAACAAGAACCTCTTATGTAAATTGTTAATGCCATCAGAAGAAGTTGGCGTCTCAGGTTGCCTCTCCTCTTCAATCTCATTTTGCTCTTGAAATCCAGCTATATGGTCCGGGCATTGTGCAGTAGTCACTATTGGTTCGCTTTTGGCGACCGGCATTTCTTTGTCAAAGAAAAGCATTAATCAGGACATAAGAACAAAGCATATGCATCATATGTAACCAACCAAAAAGAAAGAAAAATTGTCCAGAAGATGGTTATAAGGGATGATGTGAAGCAGGTACCTCTGTTTATATCAATAATGTCATTATAGCTCTCCGAGGGTTCCTCATGTGTGCTTTCTGACAATAATATTGGTTCATGAAGATGTGCATGATCAATGTGTTCACGATCACATATCTCACTCCCTATAGATATCTCACAATTGGTCTCCACATCGATCAATTTATTGTCTTCTTCATAAGCTGTAACCATCAATTAAATGTATGATCCTTAAGAGGCACATAGCTATATCAATGAGCACATGAAATAATATTGATTATGCCAACTCAACAAAATTGACTAAAATTTTCCTTTTAATTAAAAGATTATCTTACCTTGAGTTCCAGGAAGGTCTTCCTCTCCCATCAATGATTCCACTTGAACACCACCACCATCTGGGGATGTTATGATTGGTGTTGCTAGAGCAGCAACAAATTGGTGAACAGATGAGCATTCACCAATGTTCTCTGAAGAAGGAAGGACTACAGAATTCTGCTCCAGGATCTCGCCCCTCTCCGTATTAGACAAAGATGATGCATCTCCCTCGGCTGAAGTAATTCCTATATGAAGAGTCATGGCATTTTGTTGGCTTCCATCCATCTCAGAAGAATTATCTTCAACAGTATCAGCCATAGAGCATTGTGGGGCTTCATTCATCTCAGAAGAAGTCTCTTCGGTGGTATCTGCTCTCTCTTCGGCAGAAGCCAACATATTTTCCTCCTCTGTAACAAATACTGTATATTCAAGAGCATCAGATTGTAGTTCTACTGCAACATCCTCAGAGGAATTTTCTTTGACAACATCAGCACTCCCCACAGCCAAAGACGACAGCTTCTCCTCCTCCATAATGCAGCCAACATCAACAACCATCGCTTTGTTTTCCACTTCAACCTTTCCTGAAGGATTCGCTTCAACAATATCAGCCATCTCTGTAGCAGAAACCAATCCCTTTTCCACCCCTGTAATGCTCCCCTTATCAAAAGATCTACCATCGTCCTCCACTTTTTCATTCCCAGAATTCTTTTCGATGAAATTAGGCCTCTCTTCAGTGAAAGCCACCGCTTTGCTCTCGTCCCTGCCAACTTCTTCTCCTTGGAGATGCCGAAACTCTATCTGATCTTGTTTGCCAAATACACACGCAGCATGACTTTTTGTCATAGTCGCAGAGTCGATCAGCTCCACCGGTATCAACCTGTCCTCATCGTATACGTTCTCCAGATACCGAGTGAGAACTTCCAAGGAAGCATCTTCCACCAATGGACAGGCAACAGAGAAGTCGATGAGGGTTTCTAGTTCTTCCAACTCTCTCTTCGAAATGATAGCGTCTGTTGCTTCCTCTCCGTTGATCTTTACTTCAATATTATCCTCCTCCTCTTCCTTATCATCATCGGGATCATCATGGAATCCATCAACTTGATCAGGAGATACCAACTCCCCCCTTTCCACCTTTTCTCGGCACAGGACGGCATCTTCTCTAAAAAGCTCGCGATCGCCGACGGCAACCTCATCCACCAAGTTCCCCTTGTGGTCATACTCCACGGCGCCCCAAGAAGGCTTGAAAAGGAGGTAGGGCGAGTAGAACCCGCTCTCGAGGACGACGTCGCAGCAGGAGCACCTCAGATCCTTCTCCCCCTCCTCGCTCCGCTTCATCCAGGACAGGACAGCGGCCTCGACGGGCCGGGTCGAGAAGCAGCAGTCCTCACACATCTCCCCGGCCTCTGCCAGCCTCCGATGGTAGGCACAGTAGCCCAGCTTGGTGACCTCGGCGGCATGCTCGTCGCAGAGGAGGTCGCGGTAGGCGTGTCTCCGCCGACCCTCATCTTTCTCGAAGAGGTGATCCACTCGGGAGCAGAAGATACAGGGTGCCTTGAGGCCGAAGAAGGCAGCGAACCGGGCGATGAGGTAGCCGAAGAGACCGTTGAGCAGGAGGAAGAGGATGAGGGCCCATTCCAGGATGGCGTACACCAGTATCACCGCCATCCTGTGGCTGTTCCGGTGCAAGACGGTCGCGAACTTGTTGGCCGCCATGATAGATGAGATCAGATGCGCTAGAGGAGGATGGGTTACAGACTGCTTCGAGAGAGATCGTATCAATCGGGATGACAATTGGAAGGAGACAGACGAAGAAGAAGAAAGGTATAAACCAAAAAAATGGAAGGAATTGGTGTCGGGCCAATTACACGAAGGTAGATATATATACGAGCAGAGAAGCAAACGTAAAACGGGTCGGATTCTGGAGAACCAGCTGTGTGCCCGATACAATCCCAGCTTTGGGCTTTGGAACGCCTTGCTGTCCTACTTTTCAACGACAGGGATCCACCGCCACCGAAATGGATCTGACGGTCGAGAGGCCCCGCCACGGCATCGCCCCCCCGCCCCCACTTCCTCTCTTGCCTGCCCAAAAGTAACGTGTTGTCGAAGCATAGAGTGCCCGACTCATGTCCTCATCTCCATCATAAGAACCACGAATATTAAGGCAATGTCTACGCACCCGCCGTATTGGAGGTTTCCCTTTGTCGTCCATCTGGTGTTTTGATGGACTTAATCTTGAGATGGATATTGGTTTATTAGTCAAACCAGTGAATTTGGTTTAGTCAAAACACTTTTGATGACATCTATCAAATGCATGATGCAAAATTATATATCCTACGACTAAGCATGGTCAAGGAGGGAGCATCGTACAGAAAGAGATGAGAAGTTGCAGAGCCAAAAAGTCACCGATCACTGAATAAGAATGATTACTGACAAAGTTGGTATGCAGTGTACAACTGCACGTTTGGCTCTCGATTCCCTCTTCTACTTGTATCATGATATCATTGCGATCGTCGTGAATGGTGATACCGCGAACATACGATGTGTAAATATGACTATCTATGCTCGTGATATCCATGTCACAATCAGTAGAGGCTCTGAAAGCCTCTTAAGGTGATCGAATCGGTCGTCGGAAATGCCTTTTGGGGAACACATGGCCGAGGTGGGTGGGTATGCACAAGGCAATGGCTGGCTGGCTGGTGAGACGATGATGATCTCCTATAAATGGAGCTAACGGAGAAAAGAAAGGAACGAGGGCTGTACGCCGCAGCATCTGACAAGTTTGCTCACGCTAGGATTTAGCTAATCATCCCATCGTTTCTGAAGAAGCCATGACTAAATCATATAGTCATCGATATGCTTAATGTAGAACGAATTAGTCAAACAACCATTTTTAGATCCTTTCGAGTGTTGCACTGTGCTATATACTCTTCATCAGCCATGGAAGTCGTCAGGGCGTTGGCCGCGGGCACTCCGTCCATGTCCACTAGGTGATTCGTTGGCTGTCGGTGTTCTTGGATGTCATGGGTGACGGCTTATCGAGGCAACTCAACAGGCGTTGGAGGGGCTGTCGATTGCTCAGAAGCCGAGGCTGTCATAGACTAAGCCAAACGAGGGATCAGGAGATGATAGACTACATCATCTCGATCAACGTTTGAACTTACTCAAGAGTGAGGCTAGAAAAGCTTTCCTAGGAATCACCAATGCTAGATATTCTAAATCGAGAGTTAGGAATAGGAATATAGGTTGTTGCCCACCATGAGTAATGTTGCTATAAGTCGGGGTAGAACATCTTCGCTTACAGTGTTCATCGAGTGATGAGTAGACGAGATGATGTTATTTTGATACGAGTCATTCTTATAACGTCAAAATAAATATAGAGATGTGGAGTGATGTTTGGATCAATCTCACTTAGTTTACATTAATATGCACAAAAATTTTAGGTGGAGCTAAAAAAGTCTCGAATGTCAACCTACGTAAAGATGAGTAACATTATCTCTTTGATGCTAAGTAAGTCACAAACTGAGGTTTCATGTAAAATAGTAATTGATCTCGATTAATATAAATTAATAAACTTTTATAATTAATTTAATGAGAATAAATACATAGTGATACAAATAAAATAATTCTTAAAATTTTATATCAGATGGATGTTTGTATGTCTCAATCATTAATCAAATCATCGACCATCTCGATTTAATTAGGCTGTCACATGTCGAGTTCTTTGCCCGAAAGGCTACTACAAGAACACCGATCCATGAATCAGAAGAATAGATGGAAAAGTAGTGCCGACACTTTGACATAGAAAGTGTCGAGCACAGATAAAACTCTTGGAAGCCAAGCAATGTCTAATCTCTCTCCCTTTTTTCTTCGTTTCTGGCACACAGTCATCGTCGGTGTAGCCATGGAGGAGTCAACTCTTTCATGTTCACCAGTTTAAATTGGATCCCAGCGGAGAATTAGTATGCATCGCATCGAGAGAGTGTGGACTTCTTTGCTGTTAGTCCCGATCTTTCCCTCTGCCATGTTTGCATCTCTGTGGCAATTCTTCGTCGGTGCAGCAAACCTCGGTTGAGCTCAAGTCTCTTTGGACCTGAAGTTTTGGACCATGGTTATGCATATCGACAAGATTCATCTTGTCAATGTAAGATAAGGGGGTGAGAATCTCTAAGGAAATATTATAGTGATTAAGAGATGATCATGTAGTCAATCTGTTGTGTCTAATAAGAGATATTCATCTCGTTTCGACGCATGATAGTCACGTCATAAAAATAATAATAATAATAATAATAAGCTCAACCAATAAATACGTTCCATCGATAGAAGAAAACATTGTGCTATATTAGTAAAATTTGATGTGGAATATCTCCCTAATCATAAATAATTAGAGGAGGATCGACTATAAAAGGTAAATATAGATGGACACAGTTGAAATCAACAATTCATGAATCTAATTTGGGCATATAATGGACTATGTGGTCTTAGGCTTCATTTCAAAACATAATTAAATTTTTAATGTGCAATTAAAGAAATAAGTTTGTTTGATTAAATGATAGATGAAAACTGTATATTGTATACATCGATATAAGTGTTGTTTTATATAATTATATATTAAAAAATGAATACATGTTTTTTATTTAAATTATTAAGTAAAAATATAAAATAAATAAATGAATATATGTAATCTTGTAAAAAATTTCATATGACCCGAATATATGATAAATAAAAAATACAATCATATAAATAAAATATAAATAATTTTATCTTCATAGAAAATATAAATCATATTGATTTCCTACATAATCATTTTTGGAAATCTTGTAATTTTACATAAAATCATAGTGTACATTTGAAACTTGAAAAGTTATATTAGTATCATGTAAATATTCCTTTACGAAAGAACATCCAAATTTCTAGAAATCTTTTTTTCTTCGAGGTCAAAAAAAAAAAAATACACACACATACAATTAAAAATAATTGTTGAAGTGTAAATCATACATCCACCCCGAAAGAAGCAAATAGGCAAACACTTGTTCGTAATAGAGAAGTAAAGCTCAAAACAACTTGTCTTTGCCTCGTGATGGGCTCTGAGCTTCAAAGGTAAAGTCATAGGGCTGGGGATTCCTACACCCCCATAGACGACGTTTCCGCCGTTCTTTGTCAACAATATAGCGACATGAAAGAAAATGTTCACTGCATTTATCCATTCAAAACCAACCGATACAATTTCATACAATGGCATAGAGTATCTGAAAAAGAATAATACGTAAAACCCCCCAATGCTAAAGGATTTTGAGTTTAGGGTGTGATATGACATATTTTGGTATCGCCGATATGGACCCACACCACGATGTAGACATGAAACTTCAAATCTGATGTGACGCGTAGCACACACGTGATGGGCAGCCACTCGTCGCCCCCTCCGTACGAACGACATCATCACAGTACAATCGTCTCGGAAAGCTCGGGGCAGCGTTGCGCGACGTCGATCCATGCAGGTTGATCAGCACTTGCACAAAAGCTTAAGCCGAGACGGTCCGAGAAGCCGACCGTAGTTAATTGACCCTATATGACCAACTCATCCTCATAGGTATAAAAGCTAACCCTCCTTAATCAGGAAAAAGATGACACTCAACTCCCCTTAACTCTACAACACTGATTTGAACTTCAAAGGGGTCGAGTCGAGAAATCTCCCTCCCGACCTCGATCTTTGTGCAGGAACTAACAACGAAACAACAGTAACCCGTCGAGGGAGAACCACGCTCCGGAGACGATGCTTGGACCTAACCCTCCTGACATCGACATAACCTGAGTATCCATGTGGGCAACTTTGTACGTCCGAGACGGACCGAACCAGGTTCACCAACAAGATGTATGGCATAAACCCAAATTGACAGCAAAGCTATTTTATCATATCTCTTTATATGATCGATGCAGATCCTAAGAATCGGATTACATTTATTGTATACGACCCACATCCCAATAAAAAATTAATCTTTTGAATTGAATTGATAATCATTTTGATTTATGTTACTCCGATCAATTTGACTCACGCTCATTATTGTTAGATTTCTGATAAATCATAAGTTAATTATTAGTCAAGGCTCTATTAATTGATTTAATTATATAAATATATTTTATTATAATAAGTTTCCATATATCATTCATTATTTGAGGTATTGTGCGAGTCAACATTGCCTAAAGTCCACGGCGAAGTCTATTCCCGACTTACATTACATGCCACGTTCAATTGCAAAGCAGACTGACGGCATCGAATAAATGCTACAACCACTCGAAGAACAGATGTAGGAGTCGGCTGCTTGCTATCATAACAAGCAACACATCTGTTTCTCTCGCCGTGGCTTTCGATGTCTGCCATCTTTGCCGTCACCGGGCATGTGAGAGACGGAAAGAAAGCGAATCTGCAGGAGAAGCAATGCTCGTGTTGCACCACATGGGTATTGCTTTTGTGACGCTATGGATGCACTCGGTGCCATCGATTCCCACTGCCATCCATCGCACCACAGTTTTCTTCGTCAAGCTGAAGACTCTGGTGGCGTGCGTCCACCCACCGATCGAGCGTCCAGTGTTGTTTCGTTTTCCATATGGGAACGGATGGAGGTCAACCGTAAGAAGCAACGTAGCCACGAGTTTAGTTCATTTGGTTGCAAGAACGTAGAAGTCCATGACTGATTGGGAAGCATACGAGTCACGTTGTTCTTCAGTGAATGAGAAGAAGCCACATGAGTGATTGCCGATGATGAACTCTACCTTACCAACAGTTAATGCAGAAGATCAGAATCCTCATGATATGATATTGATTCATGACAGCACTTGATCTCTTCATCCCTTCTTTACGCCACCTCGTCGACTTTACCCATATATAGTTCTCGGTTTATTTAGTTGTTTTTGCAGTCACTTCGTTTCGATCGGCTTCAACATGTAATAGAATATTGTAGCAAAAAAGAGGGTTTTTCCATAGGAATTGTGGTCGATTAATTGAACATCTCATGATGATGCATGCATTGCAATGTAAAATTTTATTCAAGCCATGGCATATTTGCAGCATATTTCCATTAAAAAAACAAGTTATGTATATATATATATATATATATATATATTGTATATATGTATATGTATATATATATATATATACATATATGTATATATATATATAACATCAGTATGTGGGAATAATACATGTCTATTAATGACCCTTCAGTTTAATGATATGGACCTCAACTAAAAAGGCCAATTGCATTGACGCATTTATTGGTATTCAAACAAATGCAGGAAGGCTTTGATTCGCCTGCAATCCTTCGTCTAAGCGTAGTCACACAAGCCATACATGCAGGTCTTCTTGCACCGGTTGAAGCAGCTCCCACAGTTCTTCTTATCGAACGCCAACCTCACGCACTTCCCATCGCAGCAAGCCCGCGTGAACTTGCACATCTTGCCGCACTTGCCGCAGTTGAAGGGATCGCTGTCAGTGTCGACGCACTGGTCACCGCAGCAGCGCCGCCCGGGGCTCGCAGCGCCGTAGCAGACCGTAGGATCGATGCTGCACTTCTTGTTCTTGGGTGCCGTCACGGCCAGAAATCGGCTTCTCCGACCTCCCCCGATGTCTCCCGTGGCTGTCGGACTGAGAGCTAAAGCTATGGCTATTGCCATGAGGAGGACGGCAGCTTGCCCCATGGCAGGATGGTAAGGAATGTTGACCAGTGGCTGGGCGCTGCAGAGTGGAAAGTTAGGGTTGAGAAGGAAACTGGGGCTTCGAACAACGACGCAGGGATTTATAAGCGATGATCGGATCTCCATGGCTGGTTGAGTTGCAGTGCAAAAGGTATAGAGAAGATGGAAAGTAAAGGCGGGAGAGTGGCTTTGAAGGGTTTCGAGTGCAAGCTAGACACCAATAGTCAAACAGCTTTAGGACCGTGTGTGTGTTCTGTCATCACATGCATGCACGTACGCTCGATGACTCGAGAAGAGAACCATTTTATTTTTAGTCAAGTAGTTCTGAAGAATGTGATTCCGTCTCTGGTGCAAATGAATCCGCAGTCTGCATTAGCGTCCTCAACTTTGCTCTGCTTACAGTGAGTGCTACGTAGGTGGACGAGATCTGAACATGGCGTTTGGTTCTCGTTTCATTATCTTCTCGACTCATCCCGTCGGCCATCACCATTACCATCATACGAAAATTACGAATAGCATACACACGCTTCCTCCGTACATAAAATGTGTATACATATGTACACATAGCAGAAATTGCATGTAACTTTATACCGAGGAATAGTGAGTTTGGCATCGATAGTATACGAGTTCCGCATATCTCTAGATGAACACGGCACGATTGTCAAAGAATCGTGTGTATTAGACCACGAAGTGAAGTTGAATTCAGAAACATGGCACGATTGTCAAAGAATGCATCATGATGATGGAAAACTCTGACAAGTTTAACTTAATCGGAGGCATGTTTGGGATAACGTGAATTAACATGAAACAGAGATCGAATCATTCTCTACATGCTAATTTGTGTACGATGTTACAACGCCTTTTCCTTTATTGTTCTCTAGTAACCGCAGGGGGTGGACTAAGACCGGCCTTTGTTGCTTCTTCGATATGCATATTTGGTATAAGTTCTTTGGATTATCACCCGAGGTTCGCATCAAATGAACTAATGTGATGGTTCTTTAAACTCTGATTAGAAACACGATATTAGTTTCATTATGTGTCAAATAAGAGGGATATAAGATTAAAATTTACTTATAAGGATTCGAGGAATGTACTACTATTAACTTAAATTTAAATATCTTGTTTAGTTTGGGTTAAATGAAATTGATAAGTTAATTAACCTATTAGGCTCGAGTCGTAATATTTGATATTAAAGTCAACATAGTATTTGAGTATGATGAAGGAGCTCAAGTAATAAAAGACTATTTGTGGATGGAGTCAAACGGTTACGATGCTTTACATGTACTGTGTTAGAGTTTGATTTATGTTATATTAAGGTCTGATGAATGTATTATTATTTTAACTAGTAATTTAAGACAAACGAAATTGATAGATTAGTTAACCCATGAAACAAGATGTGAGTCATGATAATATTTTTATGTGGTTAGTGATTGGGTTATAAGTAACTGGGCTTGACCTATAAATCTAAGTTTTTGAGTTATATATATATATATATATATATATATATATATATATATATATTCTTCACAGCAAATGGCGTTAGAGGAGTTGGCAAGTTGGAGAAAGATGGGTGCCACGATTGGTGAATGCTTTGGTCGTACTGCCTTCAGTCAACTATCAATTACTTCACAATTATAATATTGGGAATTAAGCGATTAAAAAAGATATATTGACTACGATAATGTTATGCTCGATTGACGAGGTATTTCCCCAAAGCTCAAGATGGAATCGCGGGTTAAGCGCTTGTCTCACACGACACGACAGTGGGAGGGGTTATGAACTTTTTGGCATTCGTGTTTATTTTATATCCGATTGTATTATATTTTTTAAAGCAACTTGAGATAAATTGATAATGGTCTTACCTACATAATTATAATATTAAAGAAAGTTAAGTTGATGTATAGGCATTGATCCCGACTAAGAAAATTCAAGTTTTTACATTTGATGGATGTTATATTCCAATAGATATATGTTGTTCGTCCGTGTGATGGTGCACATAACTCGTTCTATTTCCGAAAGGTTTTCTCTATATCTATCTTGGTCTCAAAAGTAATTGTTGTTTAGCTTCTACATTTGGATCTCTAGAGTTTGACCTACCGGACAAATAGAGAAGAGGTGTTGGAGGTTGAGTGACAATCTCCTTTTGACATTTAAATTAAAAAATATATTATATTATGGTATGATTGTAACGAGCTTCGAGTATAAGAGAGAGAAAAACTAAAAGAATTTTTTTTTATTTACCCCCTATGAAAGTCGTTTCTTTCCATGGAAAGAGTTTTCTTTTGGAGGAAGAGGTTCTTAGACTCACTTTAATAAACTTTTTAATTGTTCTCGTTCGAAAGAGAAGGGATAAAAATTTCTTATAGAAGAAAAGAAAAAACAAATTCGACTAATTCCTAAATCGGATGGATCCATTGGTGTCTTCTATCTTTTTTCTTTGTTTTTTATCCTCGATATCAATATGAATTTGTTATACGAGATGATTCTGACAAGTATACTAGGGAAATTAAGACAAGGACTCCCAAAAATAAATTGTGAATCTCAACTTATTGTGATGGTCGATAATTTGAATCTCGACTTGTGATACAAGCTATATCTATAGTAAGAAAATGATATTTAATGTTTTTTAAAGATAATAATAACTTGATTTTCTTATCGTAATAGTCATGTATGTCATGGAGGTACATACCATGAAAACATCATAATGTATACAAGGTGGTAATAATGCTATTGTGAAAGAGTCGAGGTGGATATATGTTACCATCTTACCATCTTTATGTAGCAAAGCACGATCTACTATTGAAATACCAACATAGAAATTAAATTAAAATTTATTATCTATCAATCTCGTTTCGATACATATATAATTATACCTAAGCAGATCAAATTTAGAACAAATACTAATTCAAATATAGATCGTATAATGATCATAGAAATAATAAATAAACTAACTCAAGCATATTAATCGACTTTTATAGATAAAAATAATAAAATTACAAAAAACACAAGCATAAGTTATCTCGGATCTCAAGACATAAAAAGAACCCTGCCATATATACAAATACAAACAAATATACGTGTATATTATTATATCTTGATCGGTTAAATATAGAAAAATGAGTATGAACAGAATATACAACATGTGTTTCTCTTGAGTAACTTATGATGTATGCATACTAATGAAATAGCTAAAGTTACATAATGTTAGGGGAAATCAATAGCTGCTCGATTATTATTCCTTTTTATTTACTTATTAAAAAAGATTATTATTAGCATGATAATTAATATCAATTATTATTTATTAAATTTACTCTATCCTTGATAGATTATTATTAGCTATGAGCTAGTGCTCGGATTTCTTTTTTGCCGTAGAGGTCATTAGACCTCTTTTACATATGAATCCGAATCGAGTCGGATTGATTTCGACATCATTGACAATTTGTCAATCACAAAGATTTCAAGCTATCTTGGTCCACAATTTGAACCCCTAAAATCTTTTAATTTGTTGACCGCTGGTATGATTTCAGATGAAAGTGATGGCCAACCTTCTGTTCATAGTTTATGGTAACCCAAAGAGTTGTTTGTATGATTCGACTAAATATTCTAAAACAATCGACCTGTCTGAATGGCTAAAGACAACGAATGAATTCATCATATTCCATCATACCAATTGAATATTTATGGATCATAGAATAGAGCCATGCTATGAATCTTCCATTTGAATACTCTACGAATAATCTCATAGAACAAGTCAACAACTTGTATGTCATGCTATTGGGTTTATTAATCTTAGGATCCCATGGTTAAAGGATCATGGAAAAGTTTGAATGTTCAAACCCACCCACCACTACCAATTTATAATCTTCATCATTGATTTGGATGGAAGTACAAAGCTCAAATGTTCTTACTATGACGATTGGAATTTAGGATCTATTTTGGCTTGGCTAATCAATCCAACCATCGAACATGTCGTGTCCACCGATCTAGCCTTGAATCGTCACTATAAATGTCAGTTGATGGCCAGGCCATCTCCCACGCACAGAGTAGGTGACATGGCGATCTCAGCTGGAGGAGACAAGTACCGCTCTTTCATACATGGAGCGGGCGAAAGGAACACCCAGTGGAGGTTCGGAGCTCCTCCGGACTATGATCTCGTCAACAAGCTTTTTGAGGAGGGCCGAACTCAGGTAAAGCCACCACCTCCTCCTCCTGTTCCGCCCTTCGTGGCTCACCTCTAGTTATGACAGGAGTGGCCCGTGGGATCGCTGGAAGAGAAGGTTCAGCGCATAGTGAAGTCACTCGAAATGGAGTTGCAGCACAAGATAAGGCCAGAGGACTGCAAGTCTGTCAACCGAGAGAAGTTTCGATTCAGCGTGAATGGTGATTCACTTTACCAACCCCATGCTGCAGCTGAAGTGGATCAAATTTGATCCACACGAGGCCTACATATAGTTCTGATGAGGTATTATCTTATGAATGCCATATATATTACTTGGGAGACAGGAAGAAGGGGAATTAGTTTGCAGGAATTACGGGAGATGGGAGGAGGCTACAACGCCTTCTTGCAGACCAACCTGCCTAAAGAACTACGGATCTACGACCCAGAAGCGGAGACGATGGACTCGTCGCACGAGGCCTTCACCACGACGTTTCCCCGTGGTTTCGCCTTGGAGATACTCCAGGTGTACAGTGGCCCGCCGACGATCGCATTCAAGTTCCGGCACTGGAGCTACATGGACGGCCCATTCCAGGGGTACTCTCCCACCGGAGAATTGGTCGAGTTCTTTGGGATCGGCATCTATCACGTAATCTCTCTCTCTCTCTCTCTCTCTCTCTCTCTCTCTCTCTGTGATGTCAATTGTGATGTGAATGTTCGATAGGTGGATAATGAAATGAAGGTCGAGAAGGTGGAGTTCTTCTACGAGCGTGGAGACTTCCTTGCGAGCTTTGTGAAAGGAGCGCCTGCAGCGTCTGGTTCGCGCTGCCCTGTCATGAAGATATAGTGGATGGATGGGTGAAGCCGAACGAAACAAGTCCGTTGCTGTGAGTCACTGATGGTTTGGAGCAATAATTGGTCAACATTAGTTTGTCGAGTCAGTACGACTTTAATAAAAGTCAACGGTGCTTAGTCCACTTCAGTGAGCACAGCTGTTCAACAACTTTGCATTGCAAAGGCTGCATAAATATTTAATATTCGTGGGATTCAACCACAGATAATTATTATTACTACTTAAAATAATCTTAAATTTCTTACTATCATTACAAGAATTTTAAATAGTATGAACGTCAATCTAATACAAGTATGTTGTACATGGAGCTTTCTCATCAGCATCTCTGCATCAAATCAGCCCAAAGATCCACTTCTGGCGTATGCGTCGACTTGGCTTATGTCGACAAACTCTTCCAAACCACTTGCTAGTAAAAACCTGTAAATGCATCTGATGACATCAAGTATTTCATAAAATAAAGAAGAATACGATATTACAAAATCATTTAACATACTCATCTCTAAGGGTGGTTGTGATTGCTTGGCAGCCACCCACCATAGAGGATTGCATATTAATTGCAATGTTTGGGTTATGAACACTCTGGCGGATTTGGATCCAACCATGTTGCCCGTGGACTTCATCCGAGACTCTGGCTCTGTCGGTCAACATTGTTCATTCAAAATAGTCAACGATGATTGTTCAATTATTTTCCCACACAAATCAGCTCTATGCTTGCTCACGATAAATGAGGCATGTCTTCTTAAGATGATATCAGGCGAACACAAAAGGATGTCTTCTTGGAGAGGTATGTATGTGCATAGTATATCAGAATAAATAAAATGCAGGACAAGCAAGCTCTTCCTATACCTGTACATATGAGCATCGATGTCAACTGGTGTGTCATTTGAGTCAACAAGGCAACCATCACTCACCCAGCAGTCGCCGCAAGCGTCGAGATGCCATCCTCGGAGTCGCCCTTCCTGCGTTCCACAATTAGCCCATTGAGTTGCACGCTTTGAACAGAGCAATCGATGCACATCGAACGAGAGACCAGATTACGTTTTCTACCATGATCTCAACAAGTCAAAGATGCAAGATGTTGCATCAGGATCGACAGAGATAATTTTTTGGTTAGAACAGGCTTGAGTGAAGGATACCAACACAAAGTCCAACTTCACTGCAACTGGTCAACACTAACCATGCCAAACAAGCAGAGGAGGGGGATAAGAGTTTCACCTCGATGTTTTGTTTTAGTGTCTCCACAACCTCAGCGCCCTTCTGTTTGGCGTGTTTCGGCTGGGTCAGGATGTTCATCCTCAGTTCCACCGACTCCAGTGGATCCTTGAGTTCCTTAATGAGACTTCCGATCCCCTCGCTGGAGCCCATCAGTTTCATGCGTACCATCTCGATGATGATCTTTACGACCATGTATGCACCTATAGGCAGAGATCATGAAGCAGGTGAAGAAGGATTCTTAATTCTCCCTATGACCACGTTTAGAGATCGCTATTCCTCGTCTCAGTGTACTGCTGAATACGTAATAAGCAAAAGGCGAAGAAGAGTGATGCGGGGCGATTTTACCATCATCAAGAAAATGGTTCTCTTTGAGTGCGCCGTGCCCTGTGGTCTCCATCATCAGATGCGTCTCTACGCCGTCCCGGTTGAGCTGAATGCCCTTGTCGATCACGTTCCGATACCCCACGCGGTACAGGCAGTGGTGTCCGCCACGGGCGGCGATGAACTCCGTGAGGGCCACGCTGGTCCTCGCGTCGGTCACGACCGTCGTCCCCGGATGCTCCCTCAGCACGATGGCAGCCATCAGCGCGATCAGCCGATCGCCGTTGATGGCGGCGCCGGTGCTGTCGACGACGCCGCTCCGGTCGACGTCGGTGTCGAAGACGATGCCGAGGTCGGCCTGTTGCTCGAGGACGGCCGCTCTGGTGAGCGACATGGCGGTGCGGTCCTCCGGGTTGGGGATGTGGTTGGGGAACATCCCGTCGGGCTCCAAGTGGAGGCTACCGAAGGTATCGGCTCCCAGCTTGTCCAACACGTTCCAGGTGAAGAAACCCCCGGAACCATTTCCAGCGTTCACTACCACCTGCAGGAACAGTTTATACGACATGGACTCTGGTCGTTCGTTTGCTGATACCGTAGTCTTAGTATCCACATTACGTGCCATGAAATGTGCTGTGCGCGTACCTTGAATCCTTCGAGGGGAGTGTCGTAATGGTGGGGATGGTTTATTCTCTCTTTGATAATGGTGCGAAGGTGCTCGGCGTACGCACTCATGAAGTCCACGTTGTTCCTCGTCAGCGATGGCACGCTGCCACTGTACCCAAGCCCCATCCTTCTCGTCGTATGTTTCCGGGCAGCTCGGTCGCATATGTCCTCCACTTCGCTAGCGTTTAACCCCCCTCTCCTGGTGAAGAACTTGAGCCCGTTGCGGGTGTACGGTAGGTGCGACGCCGTCATCTGGGTTCATCGGTTTTTAGCATCGTCATATGCATGCTGCTCCTTCGGCAAGTGCAGATCTTACCATGATCGACGCGTCGTAGGCGAACTGCGGCAGGACGGTGCTCATGAAGCATGCTGGGGTGGTGGCGAGACCCATGTCGAAGACGAGGCAGCCGGCTCTCGACAGCCCGGCCAACACCGCCGTGCTCAGCGCCGGCCCGGATAGACGTGGGTCTCGCCCGAAGGACACCCGCACCTTCGCCATCTCCTGCTCACTTTCCCTCGTCAGGCTCTCCATGACCCACTCTCCGAAGCTCTCGGCGATCGCCTCCACCGCCTGGGGCGTAAGGTCGACGCTGCGGCCCTTCTCTCCCTCTAGAGCAACCCCGCGCACGTCAGACCCATTCTGTAGCCTCCGGATTGTGTCTCCTTCCTCGTTTGCGCTGAGGACGTTCGTCTGCTGGTCGGTGCCGCTGACCGCCTGCGGCACGGTGGCCGCGAGTCTCAGAGCTTGTCGGAATGGGCGATCGAGCAGCGTGGCTGACCTCTTGAATGGATTCGCCGGAAATGGAACGATATTTCCACTGGAATTGCACCGAGGAGTTGGATACAAAGTGGACGGAGCAGCCGGAGCAGCCATGACCATGCAACTGCAGTAGGGTGTCAGAACGTAGCCTTGGCAGGATAAGAACTTCCTTTAGGATCACGCAGCGGCAACCACATGGATCACTTAGTTCGATCTATACCACTCGACAACCATGGCTAGATAGATATAGATGCGTTATTTTGTTTGCACTGGAAAATATCTTACAACAACACGTTCCTCTGATTTCATTCCTTCTTTTCTTTTTCTTGAGGAAAATATCTCATTTCCTCGATTTGATTTTTTCTCTTGTTTCTTCCCCTGCTTGCGCTACGAAAATATCTTCCAATTGAAATCAACTTCGTAGCCTATGAACTCATTACTTCGATATTTCCCCTCATTTTCGTGTTTCATGTTCTTCCGCGAGAAATATCGGAGGACTGGAGATAACTGTTTTCATGTTCTTCGTCAGTTTGCGATGGAGAAGTCGGAAATGATAGTGCCTGTGAGGCCCATAATAAAGTTGGAACTTTGGGACGTTGGAGCGTTGCGACGCCGAAAGAGACGGTAAGATCTGCGTGGTGCAATGGGAGGTTTAAGAGGAGTCGGCGACTCCCCTTGCTGTGATGTGATGCATGCGGCGCAGGTGAGACCTCGCTATGGATGGGCGGATGCGACCCCACCAAAGAGGCAGGCCCTGTTGACTTCAACGCAGACAAAGTAGGTCAAACTTCGGCTTACCAAACCACGATCAACCTGGGCGGGCCGATCCATCCATGGTCATTACGTGGCCCATCATTCTGTGTCAGTTTATATATAACATAACTAACTAACATTCCTTGAGCAGCCATCATGGCATTATATTATATATATTAATATGTAAAAAAACCCAAACATACATTTATTAATATACATTGAGTAATCAAAATCTTTATTTCAGCAAAAGGATATATTACATTTATTCGAGTCTTATTTGAGCACACTATTATTTTAATCGAATTGATAAAAGTTTTAATGAAAAGGCAGCACAGAAAAATGACCGCTATGAGTCAACACCGTGATTTGACCGTCGTCGCCGGACCTTTGTTCCCCAAAGTGCGAACACTATTTGCCCGATACATAACAACTAAAAGTTTTCGCATGATTGACATGTGGCATTGATTCGCATGTCTTCTTCTCGTGCTGGCTTTGCATTGACCAATCAAAATTATGACCCTGGTTTGGGCGCTTTCTAATGCAGCGTGCTCCTCTTCCTTCCTTTCCGATGCAATGCCGCAGACTCTTCACCAATCACAATCATGATTAGTACATCCGTACTCGCTGAATGCAGATGCAAGCTTTGGTCGTTTCTACTACTCCATCTTTTCTCTCTGTCAGCCAACATCAACAGCTTTGTTTCTCTTGCAAAACAGAAGTGTTTCTGTTAAATTCTAAAACGCTTTTAAGTATGCTTCGAGGATATGCTTACGTAGCTACGTAATATCTTTTCCCATGTTGCGTAGTACGTAGCTGAAACCCTTGACAGGCCGAGTGCGTTCCTCTGGAACGCACTCAACCATCGCATTTGCTACGAAGCCTGCGCAATTAGTGCGGAATTATGAGGGTGCTAATAAAATATGTGAAGAGAGCGGAGTGAAGTTACAGTGGAAAGCTAACGGAAAAGGCTGTCTATGGCTAACCATCGCCATGCGTACCCCAACAAGATGTCATAATTGAAAGGCCTCATTCCATGTCCTTGTCGGTTTCGTAGATTGTAACTCAGTACGAGCCATTAGAACCTTTCTTTTCCTTGCCAAAACATTTCCCATTTCATTCATCCAATCGCTGAATCCACAAAAACCGGAGGCTCTCGTTCCTGCTTCCCAACACACAACTTTTCGAAAGAGAAAGGAAGCCGTTCATCAGTCTGGTTAACAATCAATAAAACCATCCTTTGCTGGTTGGTCTCCATACATTACGCATGCTGCGAGTCAGTGGCAGAGTAGACCTAAAAAATCGAGAGAGAGAGAGAGAGAGAGAGAGAGAGAGAGAGGATAAGGGTTTCACATGACTGCGCATGGGGACCGAGGTAAAAGAATCTTAAACGGCGGCCCCCTCCTGACCCCAGCTTTCGAGGCCAAAACGTCAAAGGCCTAATCCTTTGAGGACTCGTGTATCCAGGCATGGCGGGGGGCAAAAGAATCACTACTGTTGGCTTTGGGACAAGAGCCAAAAAGCCAGAGACTTGGTGGGAGAGGAAAAGAATGGGGTCTTTGAGTGGCAATGAGTAAGCTTCCTAAGCTGAGGGCAGGCCATGCCTGATAAAGAAGGCCAAAGCACTTCCTTCCCTTGTCCTTGTGATTGAGACTTCACCTTACCCCCCGCTACTGCTGCTGCTACTACTGCTCCCTTGGGGTCTCCTATATATTAACCACCAACGCTTCAACGATTGCTTGGTCACTTCACACAGATTGGCTTCTTCGTATACATATACGACGATGGAGGTATGTAAACATGGCCACGAGCTTTGGTTCTTTTTCTCGTTGGAGAATGAAGTGTGGCTTTAGCAGCTGATGTTTGTGCTTACCTTTGGTCACAGGGCATGATGAAGAGGCACCAGGTTCCAGCATTTGGGTACTGGGATTACTGCGACGAGCTTCCCATCACCCGCTACTTTGAGTCAGCAGTGCAGGCTGGGTTGATCCGAGGCCATTTTTTTGGTGAAGATGACGATGTCTTTAACGTGTCAGCCCAAGTGAGACCGGCCTATCTTAACCACCATAGAAAGGTTATCATTGATCTCAGACTCCATTACTCTTTCCAACTACACGTATCTCATGCCTTGACTTGTGCCATTGATCAAAATTTGGTTTTAGGTGAAAAAGGCTGGTGATATAGGAGGAGAGAAGCACTACGGTAAAGGGCAGCAGAGGAAGCAAGTGAAGGTAATCAGCGACCTGAAGATCCAAGCCACCCCGAGGAGGCATAGAGCTCCCAAGGCCGTGGACGAGGACTTGTACAAGATCCCACCTGAGCTCCTCTACCAGAAGCCCAAGAGGGTATCTCTCACTCCTGTTTGCTCCCTTTCCTACACAGATTTCTTCTTCTTTCGTGCCAGTGTATGTATCTGACAATCTCGGCCAATTCTTTTTCCTGTTTGCAGAAGAGATCGTTAAAGAAGTTATGGTCAGGATGTATGGGACTCAACAGCGTTGCCTGAGCGGACGAAGGACCGATGGAGTGAGAGCGCATCGCATGCCGAAGCTTTAGCACCATGGAGATCCTTTTTATTTTCCCTCTTCAGTCGCCGTTGTGATCTTTTCCAGGCTTTGATCAATGTGATGTGATATATCATTGAACAGTGACTTCTCTCAGTCAGAAGTGAAGGATATTATATATATATATATATATATATATATATATGGTTTTTGTTGTAGGCTAGAAATTAATGAAAGAGAGACTGGTCTGGTAATCAGCCATTTATTTGGCAGGATATGGCTTGTGTCAATACTATTCAAAGTTATCCTGCAAATTTCTACAGTAGAAAGCTTCTCAGAAATGCTACTGATATATCACTCAGGTTCAAGTTACTTCTTAGCAAACTTAGATATATATACTACTATTTGCGTATGAGATCTCCTCCCACTTTTATCTTTTTTTCCCCCTTTAACATACTACCATAACTTCTCATAGCCCGCAAACGGAAAAAAACCAAATCAAATCATTGTTATTTTGTGACTATCAAAATCAAGCAACATGTCAAACTTCATGTGTATATATATATTTGATGAACGGTGAGAATGGCTGTTCTTCCCACATAACATCATCCTAAAATCATTACCACAGTCGTTATAATCATTACAAGAGTTCTTATTTCAAACAAAATTTACACAAAATGGAAAGTACTTGGGAGAACCAATTAATTTCAGCACAGGTGGAGAATGCAGGTGGGCTATTTTTCGAGGACAGTGTTGGCTCAAAATCTTAAGCATATTTGCTAACTCGCATGAGAAGAATTCTTCTTTCCTTCTTCCCATGTCACCTACTTAGTTCTCTAAATCAATCACTTCAACCCATTAGAAGTGGCAATCTTGAGGCCCTGCCCAGTCCTCTGTGCCATCAAGTCCTCATCATTTTGGGGGTTCCCGAGCTGCCAGTCGGCGTGTTTACAATAGTGCTATTTCCTAAAAAAGCTGCTTGCTGTGTCCCTCAAAGGCTATGGTGCTATAATGTTAGGTTGTCCTTTTCGTACTACTTCTCGTTCCATAATACCACCTTGTAATCCTTTATGCCATATCTTAGGACTCGGACAAGGACCGAGTTTGCAACCAACGGAAGCACAAGAAAAAGATAGTGATCAGATAAGTTGAGGACTTCTTTGTCTTTCAAATTGTAACCTTTCTAAAAGGCAATCCAGCTTCTAGTGGGGGATTAATGGTGTCTGTTTAAAGCTTGAGGGCAAACTGTACTTTAGTAGTTAAGCTTGGGCTACTCCATGTATATGAAACTCCCTTGGTGTTGGTGACAGATGAGGACAGTAACTAAAATGGGAGTGTTACCAAAGCAAAATGGCTCAGGCAGAAGTGGGGTTGGATCGATTGGTGTCAACATGAGGTCAAGATAGAAACAGCAAAAATTGTATCCAAAACAACCGAGATCACTGTGGACTACCAACCTCAGGTTATTGTAGGGGAGAGAGAGAGAGAGAGAATTAACTGAAGTCTCAGAGCAGGAGAGTGTTCTTAGGGTTCATTTCCAAGGTTGCAATCTCTGTGATTCGCAAGGTTTCACGTAAAGCTGGGCCTCCATTGACTACGTTTTATTACTTACAAATGCACACAACGTCATCAGTTTTACTGTCCCATCAAATTTGCAGCGATTGGATGGTATAATACGATCAAATTAAACCATGAAATCTCATGATTCTTTGGATTCCTTCAGAAACTCAAAATTACGGGAAATATGGATGAGTCTGTGACATATCGAGAAACAGATGACGTTGTGTACTATACATTATTCATGCAAAAACACATAGATGATTGATGTCATATATATATATTAGACCGAGAATGTATTGGCGGAAAAGTTCTTTCCCGAGCCTCGGTCCGGGAGATTCGCGGATGCTGGGAACGCCGAGCGCGCAGCGAGCTGCAGAAGCCCAAGAGAAGCCACGAGGCAGTTCACGTGCAACGCATGGCCCAGCAGGGAGCAATCCACGCATGCCCATTCTCTCTTCCTACCCCCGTCCTCCTCCAACTCCATTTCCTCGTTCCCTCTTCCTCCCCTTTCTTGATGTCGCACGTAACAAGCTCGCCGGAGCCGCGGGGCCGAGCATCGGATGGCGACAAAGGGATAGCAACGACGAAGCCGAAACGGGGCAACACTTGTCCCCTCGTCGCGATGCAACAGGAGCCTTTCCGCCAAACGCAGCACACAGACCACTGCATTTGTCAAACCGAGGGGCGGGAGAGCCGCCGCGGCCCCCGCAGGGATTCACGTGAAGGACAACTGCGCGCCGACCGATGGAGCTGATATGAGGACTAATATCCAGGTGCCTAATCCTCCCTCTAATCCTCCGCAATAAGCCCAGTCCACAGCGTTGGAAGAATTTACGCCCTCTCTATTGGTCCTTGCGACTCGAACATAGCATGAGATTCGAGCCTTCTATCTTTACGCCCTCTCATATGGGACTTGCGGTACATTTGAGATATATCTCTAATCCCCTTAGATCGTGTGGTATGTAACTTTCTCACAGAGGATAATGTAAGCTGTCATTTCAGCCTAATCATCCCTTTATGTGACGATTGTGGAAAGCTACACGTGGAGGGGGCAATAGCCGGCTATGATGTTTTCCCCCTCTTTCATTGAATCGGACTACTACTACTACTACTCCATACATAATTCAAGTCTGTCTTCCACCTCGAAGCCATTCCAGACTGTCGCGACATTCGTAAATAGAATAACGCACACTCGTACCCCTCTCTCGAGTGATCAGCGGTCGCCGAAAACGTGGTACATGACTCGTCGCTCTGCCACACACACCGCTTGTCGGTGGTGTCTCGCGATCACTCCTTTCCTCTTCTATCGCAATCCTAAACGCGGTGAGCAACATCACGCATAGCCGCCTCCACTTAAATGAGAGGCTGGTTACTCGGCGGAACTGTCGGTCACTCCAAGCTGGCCGTCGGACCCACCATAACGTGATCCTGAGAGATGCAATTATAAATGTTTAATAAATTAATATTAAAAAGTTTTTTAGGAATAAATGGACCATTTTAATCAAAATTATATCCAAATAAAATTGCAAAAATTGAGTTTTTTTTTCCCTTGTAATTTTTTTTTGATTTAAATCGACTTTCTTCTTGTTTGTTTGTTTGTTTGTTTCAGATTGTTTGGAGGACGACGAGGTTTAAGTGAAAAATCACCGTCATTAATCAAATAAACCACATCATTAATAAACCAAAGAGAGGGGCGAAGAGGCGTACGGGAGATGGTGGGTGTTTAAATAGCCCACGCTCGCATCCCCCCTCGCCTCACCAATACATCCGCCTCTCCGCGCTGATCGCTCGAGATCCGTCGCTCCTCCGCTCTTTCTCCATTCCGATCCGCGTTTCTCGCTCGGAGAGGTACACCACGCTCCTGCATTCCCTTCTTGATCCCTCACCGACTTCGCCCTTTGTCTCAGTTTCTTTGAGTGTTTTTTCTTGATCTCGTCCGATTTGTCGGTGCGGATCTTGCAGTTTGTGAGGGTTTGTTGAGGGGATTCGGAGATGGCAGCGGCTGGGCGGTTGGATCTTGACGGGAACCCGATTAGGCCGATGACGATCTGCATGATCGGGGCCGGGGGTTTCATTGGATCGCACCTCTGCGAGAAGCTGATGGCGGAGACGCCGCACACTGTGCTGGCCGTCGACGTCTACAGCGACAAGATCAAGCACCTCCTCGATCCACCGACGGCCGCAGAGGGACAGCAGGCCCGCCACTCCTGGGATGGCCGGATCCAGTTCCACCGCCTTAACATCAAGCACGACTCCAGGCTCGAGGGCCTCATCAAGATGTCCGATCTGGTTTGACCCTGCTGCAATTACCATTCCCTCGTCCTCGTTGCACATTAATTCTTGCATCAGATCTCGGCCTCTGGGTCTTTTACCCACTTTACCATTTGATCTACACAGATCTGCTTCTTCTTTTACCTCTCCCTCCTTTTTCTGCAGTGTTTCTTTGGATTTAGGAACTGGTCTCTTTTCATCTGTTGTTAATTCTTCCTGCGGACCTGCTCTACTGTCGTTGTGTTTCCCTCTGACAAGGAATCTTGATGTAGTAGTTTTCAATTTTATTTTGCTCTACAGACGATCAACCTGGCAGCAATATGTACACCAGCGGATTATAACACCCGTCCACTAGACACCATCTACAGTAATTTCATCGATGCTCTCCCAGTTGTAAGTTTGGGAATTCCTGTCTCTTCTCTTCTATTTGGCTTTCTAGAATCTTGGTGTGTGTGTGTGTGTGTGTTTGGGTGTGATCTCTTCAGAACATGGTTGTGCAGGTTAGATACTGCTCAGAAAACAACAAGCGCCTGATTCACTTCTCCACTTGTGAAGTGTATGGGAAAACAATTGGCAGCTTCCTTCCCAAGGATCACCCTCTAAGAAAGGTATTTCTCTGAAATGATTCTTTGAAATGCGTGAGGATATGTTTTATATCGAAAATTACTTCTAAATCTTTCGTAGCTTAGTAATATTTGGTTCTATAATGGTAACGACTTATGTTCAACTTGAAAACCAGTGCTTATATGATGTCAAACTTGCAATTCATGTATGATGGACACTATTGAAGCTTCTTATGGTGTGATTAGAGACAGCTTGTTGATGTAACTCCTCGGAATCAGAAAAGAAAAAAACTAGTTTGTTGTTTGCATGACTTTTCATGTAAAGCATACTGTACATCAGTGTGACTTTCTTATAGTATATTTGTAATTTCTTCACACACATTTGCTTGTATTTTCCACTCTCAAATTCTGCATATAGCTATGTAGACCCTAGGAGTGTCATTATGCCTTTTATGGACTTCATTATAAAAATTGGTGGATATGTAAAACAGGAGAAGATTTTGTATCATATGAATATGAAATCATTAAAGTTTATTACATGGTTGAAACTTGTGTGACACATTTTTGACAAAGCCTTTGAATTGTTGCGTGGATACATAAGCAAAAATATCAAATTTGGAAGCATATTATAGTGTTTGATATAGCAATGAGAAAAATGTGATGTTAGGTTGTATGGGAGACATACGGCTCACTAGATTAAGCTATGTATGTACCTTTATTGTTGAGAATGATAATTATTAAATGATAAATCCATAAGAAGCCTTGTACCTTAAAATTTAAAAATTATTTAAATCTGCTTATGGTACGTTGTGCATGTTCTTGAAAGTGTACAACTCTTAGTTTACTTTTGAACTTTATAATCAAATATACTACTTGCATTATGTTCTTATTGTAAGTTCATGGTAGTGAAATTTGGGAATGATGAAATGTTTCAGAGGCTGACAATCGTCTCTGGTAGTGCTGCTGATGATAACTAAGTGAAAAACTTAATGTTGAATAGCCTATATTTTTCTTGTTTTTGGTTCAGAATAGCTGCAGCATACGGAATGGCACAAAGCACTGTTAATGTGCTGTAACTGTTGTATGAGCAAGACACCAATGTAGTATATAATCTTTTAATTGCAATGGTTGATGGATATGTACCCCATCACACCAATTAGCTAATGTTCCATGATATTGAGCATAAGTTATGCTTAGTTGGACTTTCTGTATTCTATACATGAGGTAACTATTCAAATAGGATGTATATTATATATGGAGAAAGTAGTGGTCTAAATTCCTATACTTAAAGTCCTGTCTGGAATTTTCATGTGTGCTTAAAGACGAGCATTTGTGTAACATGAAATCAATTTTGTTGGGGGACTTACTTTATAAATTCTTTATGATCTTGTCAATTTTTATCAGTGAGGTACCCTCTTCAGGAAATTATTGGTGGGACATAGTGACTTGTTGTGACATATGATTGGCAACCTCAGTTCTTATATTTGTTTCTACACAATAAGTTACATCTACGTTGTGCTATCCATAATGTACTCTTGATGTTACTTCTGTTTTTCGAGTATATTTTTTCTTGAAACATTTATATGTTTTTCTACTCTACCATTGAGAATATATGTGATCAAATAGGAACCCGACTTCTATGTACTTAAGGAAGATGCCTCCCCATGCATTTTTGGTTCTATCGAGAAGCAGAGATGGTCTTATGCATGTGCAAAGCAACTTATTGAGAGGCTGATTTATGGTGAGTTCACTTACTAATTTTTAGTTACAGTAATGCTGTACTTGTACCTTGTCCTTACATATTTTATTTGGTCCATTCCAAGCTGAGGGTGCGGAGAATGGTCTTGAATTCACCATTGTGAGACCTTTTAATTGGATTGGACCAAGGATGGACTTTATCCCTGGAATCGATGGTCCTAGCGAGGGTGTTCCCAGGGTTTTGGCATGCTTCAGTAATGTATGTATCATGGTCCTCATGATTCAGGAGAAAATAGTTTCATTGGCCTTTCTACACTATTAAGATCACCTAGTTATTTACATAATGCAGAATCTCCTGCGACGTGAGCCTCTGAAACTTGTTGATGGTGGTCAGTCCCAAAGAACTTTTGTCTACATCAAGGATGCAATAGAAGCTGTTCTCCTCATGATTGTGCGTGTTTTCCTGTCATCTTGTTATCTCTCTTGTACCTTTATGGTGATATAAATACTGTTCTAATCTCCTGTAGGAAAATCCTGAGCGAGCTAATGGCCACATCTTTAATGTGGGAAATCCCAACAATGAAGTCACTGTAAAGCAACTTGCTGAAATTATGACACAGGTATGGCAGTGCATATTTGCCATGGGAAAATTGCAGATGTTTGACAGTCTTTATGTTATCGTCTGCTCTGCAGGTATATTCAAAGGTATCAGGGGAGCCTCCTCTGGAGGTGGCCACTATCGATGTGAGTTCCAAGGAGTTCTATGGTGAGGGATACGATGACAGTGATAAGCGGATTCCTGACATGACCATAATCAATAAGCAACTTGGTATATAATCCCCCCCCCCCCCATCATATTTACATTAAGTGGGTTTTTCATTTTTCCTAATAATGATGTCAGAGAAAAACTGTAGCTAAAGAGATGTTGCAAATGCAGGTTGGAATCCGAAGACATCCCTGTGGGACTTGCTGGACTCAACACTGACCTATCAGCATAGGACCTACGCAGAGGCCATCAAGAGGGCAATGGCTAAACCTGTTGCATCATCCAGCTAGATGCTTGAATTAGATTCTTGAATTGGTTCTCTCCGACAAGGCATAGCTGAAGCATATTTTTTGCTTTAATCCATTTTGAAGGCCATACATTTTATCAGCCAGTTGCATTTTATTCATTCTCTTAGTAGTTAATGTGGAGTTTGTGACTGATAAATTTTTTTTTTCTTTTACCTATTTTTGAAGAAATTATTGACTGTAGGATAGCGACTGTTTGTATATGCCATGACAAAGGTGTGATTTACGTGTGATTTTGGCACGTACGAGAATTTTGTGCTAGGAACATGCATGTGACTCTCTCTCTCGACCACATATTGATGGGAGTCTCATGATAGGTATTAGACCAGCTGCCCCACCTTGTTTTTTACCAGTTGTAGCCAAATGCCAGAGCGGCTATAGGAATTTTGATTCCCCGTGTATGACTCAGAAAACATCCACATGATCAAAATAGAGTTCAATGAATAGTAGAAAATAAAAATTCATTAAACTCTCTACCCAAATAAAAAATAACTCGGGATCAAGATGACCCACATAAAAAATTCATTAAATTCAATGAATATGCAGGCCACGGCCATGATAAGCAGAAGATTCACATCCTCCTATGTTCTTGATGCATAAACGACGAAATTTCTTCAATATACAGCCCCAAAACGGAGAATGTAACACGTATCTTGTCTTTAAAACCCTTCGAATTCAAAACAGCAACTGATAGCATCAACTGTAAGGATTACTACAACTCAATCTTGATTCGACCCACATATTTGACTAAAGTTGTTGCCAAAATTCTCTGAGAAACACATTTGGGGCTCGCATACCTGAACACTCGTTTTGAGTGGAGCCATAAGAGAAACACACCTATATTTACTCAAGCTTCCTGCTTCAATGCAATGTCTACAATCCCCACAGGTGATTTGGGTCGATAATGTTCATCAGTGTCAACTTCCTCAATTTCCTAGGGAAGTAATTCCAGAAAAAGAAAATACATGAGCCCAAGCAAAAGCCTGTAATAATAAAATTTCCAACTTCAATTTCCTAAACCTGACAGAAGCACAAAAGTTTAGCCCTTTATTGGAACTTTCTTTCCGTATCATCGTAAACATAAGCCCATGCAAAAGTTTGTCAGCTTCATGCTGAACGTGCTAGTCGAGAGGCAATGCAAGCAAAAGCTAAATATTAATAGCACTTGACATAAAGGGGGAATAAAATGCATTTCTGGCCAGAGGAATGTACAAGATGCAACTGCACATAACAGGGTCGAATGCATTGAAAAAAAAAAAATGATAACAAAGACTGTTTTAAGCTTGAGGGGTTACCAGCATTCACACACCACAACATTGTTGTTTTTGCCTTCCTGTTCCTTACTAGTTTTTGTTACTGGATGGCCATTCTGACACTTGGGTGAAGTATATGATTTTTACATATGTTATACATCCTTAGGAATATCATAGGTTATGATGATAATATACACGTTAGTGTAGGTTCCCTAGATTATATATGTCTGGCCACGTTTGTTTGGGTCTCGAGCTGAATTCATATGAAAGTTATCCCATTTGCCACCATAATTAGTTCTTAAACCTCTAATCGAACTGAACTGAGTTTCATAGCTTCTTAGTTTTGTGAATCCATTTGTGCAACCCAGTCTATCGCTTTGCATCAAGCCAATGTCCTGCTTTTGTTAAATTACGAATATAAATAAAAAATAACTAACTAAACTAAAGTGACCAAAACAAAATGTGTTTAGACATAAATCACCGGAATAGTGAAAAACAAAGGGGACCAAGTTAACTACCTGGACAACATCCTCCCCCTTGATGACCCGTCCGAAGATGATAAGTTTATCACTTAGGTCAGGAATCGGTGCTGTTGTTATAAAAAGCTCAAATTCTTTGCTGTCCTTATTAGGCTTTAAGGTTCCAAGCATAAAAGCCTCATGCTTTGGGCTGCACATACATGACCAGAAGTTTCAAATAGAAGCAAGTTTTGGCAAAAAAAAAAAGCACAATATAATAACATTGTGTAAGAAGAAAAGGTGTCCCTTTTATCAAAAGTTGAAGGCGAAATAACCTTGTAGCAAGCTGACTGTGGGCTTTTCCTTTCAGTATCCAGTCTCCTGCACCTTCAAGTTTTTGTGAATGCCCTCCTTGAATTACAAAATTTTTAATGACATGGTTGAAAAGCATCCCTTTAAAATATCCCTTCTGACTGAACAAAGATTAGATTCTTCATGAGGATGAGATGCAAGGACAGAGTGAGATGAGCAAACTAATCAAACACCAAAACGTAGGAGTATAAACATACAACAAAGATGTATATTTTCAGTGTTTACAACAACGATGTTCTGCATACAATCTAGAGCATAGTTACCAGTTCCAGATCGAACTGGGTGTTCGGACCAGAAAAATCGGGGATTGGACCATTAACTGGTCTGATTCAATTATTGGATCGGATGTGTTGAAAAACTAGCATGAACTGATTGACTTGACCGATTTTTGGATAACCTGCATGAACTTACCGGGTTACATGAACTGATCCAGTTTTGTAATATAACGAAAGATTACTTAAATGCCTTAACTCACATTTTTTTTTTTATTTGTTTAAGAGGGCATTTACGTCAATAATAAATTAGAGTTGATGTGAGAAATAAATTAAAACTGATTTAATTTAGTGTAATCACCACCAATATTTATGTTTATAATATTGGTTGATATTATCATTATATATATTTTTATTAATTCTTAAAATTTAGATTTTTATAATTTTAAATTATTTAATACTTAAAAATAATAATTAAACATTCGGTCTGGCCAGTTGACCCACCAATTCAATGAGTAACCTAGTGATCCAAGACTTGACAGGGTCGCTTCCCAGTTCGATTTGGATAACTATGATCTATAGCACCAAACACGACCTCGTCTCTCTTCTCTTCTTGATAGCCCACTTCTTGATAACCCAATCCTTCAGGCCATGTTATCCACCCACAAAATTGCACTTGCTTGCCAATCATGTGGCAGCCATTAGAAACCATTTCCACCTCCTTGTAGACTATTTCACAAATAAAAATCTACTATGGTTCTATGTTACAGAAGACAAAAGAAATTCTAAGTCAAATTTGTATATATTCAGGAGGGGTCAAGATAAATAAATTCACCAATGCTCAATTTGATATTCCTGCTAATCCTAAAATGTTATTTCTTGGTCATTTAACTTATGGAATCATGAATCTATATGCACGGTAAACAAAGAAGAAGCCTGTAATGGAACTTTCTCGTTCTCAGTTTCAACCGAGCAACGTTCTGTTTTCTTTCAATTCTTTTTTTGAAAGGGAATTGGGTGGGTAGGTGTGATGCAACTACAGTGCTATATGCTATGAAGAATAAGATGGCTGTTAGACCCAACAATACTTGACATCCTTTTATTCACTTGTATACATGTGTATCATTTATGAACTTAAATAATAGTGTCTTACTATCAACAGTAAATTTTTACATTTATAATACTAAAACTTCTTGGCCCTTAAAAAATGCAATACTAATTGTACTATTGCAGCTAAATACAATCAATGGACTAACTTAATATCCATTATGACAATACAAAGTGTAAACTTTTCTTAGTTCATAACAAGGTTTTAAATACCGGTCGGTCAATACATACCCGACTGGTACTTATTGTTTCGACCAAGGACTAGCACTGGACTGTGTGGGTTGCTACCAGTTAATATTTAACTTTTTTTTCTTCAACTGTATTGGGTGGTCGAAGTTGGTATACTGCCTATGTGCCGGTACCATGCCAGTTTGATCAGTTGCCAAAGCCACTTTTGGACAGCTATTCAAAATCTAGTGACAACTATTTTATAACAGCGAGCGCAAAACTATAGCACTAAAAAGAAGCAAAGAATGTCCCTATACATGATATCAATAAATAGGCTTGTACTTTTTTCTTTCCCTGTTCAATTTCCTCTTCTTTTCCTTCTAAACCTTGTCCTTGCTTCTCAGACATTTGTATTATACATCTCTTTTCCTCCTAAACTCTATTCTTTCTTTCTGAAGCACCGTGATCTTCTTTTCAATATCTCAGATTCTCACTTCTAGAATCTTTGCATTAATATAGCTTTCTATGTGGAATGTTGTCTGATCTAATGCAGGCAAAGATGGTAGTTAATTCTCCACTACTTTCATGAACCAAAGAAAAAAAAAATATAACCTGCAGAATCATCAAAAGTGCTTACCATAAATTCACAAACTTATTCACCACATCACGAGAAGCATCCTTGTAGAGCTCAATAGTTATTGAACCCTTTGCAGTATTGAAAATCTATTAAAAAATAACAATGATTTAGAACTAATTCAAGAATACAGGAAATACTTCACTGAAAATATATCCAAAGATGTAATCTTCAAACTTGATGAAAGTCAATATGCAATGAACAAGCGTTAATAAAAAAAAAATTTCGACTAGATATAAAAAATAAATTCAATAACAAATTGACAAGACATCACACAGATGAAGAAACTTACAGCATAGCTAGGAAGATGAGTTCCTGTTGATTGTCCAGATGTTACTGAATGCTTCAACAAAAAGAGAAAAAAATCAATCAGACTTCACTAATATCATATCAAAAACTAATGGTGAACTACAGATAGCCAGATAGTTAAGGTTCAGGTAAGAACTTAACATGGAGATTCAACAGAATAGTTTCGTCATGAAGTTAACAGATGTAAATAGTAAACTAACTGCAGCAAGCTAGAAAGATTCAAGAAAGCTAAGTACTTCCAAAGAGTTAAAGAGAGTAATGAGTTCATGAACGAGTTAAAGAAATGTGAAATCTCAGTTATATACCTCAAAATTTTCCAAGCCTTTCCCTAATTGATTGCTTGACCTTCAATAAAATTGATCAACATTAAGAATACTTTACAAACAGTTACTAACAGAATATTATGTTGCAGACTGATAAAACTTTCTGTAATTTTGAACTCACAATGAAAAAAATTAATAAATCAATTGCAGTAGCAAGAGCATATACATGTGCATGAAACAAATTGCAGCTAAAGAGGCTAACCTGTTAAACCAGTTTCTGTACGTAGCATATAGGGACAATACAATCAATATAACAATGATGTTGCAAGTAATGACAGTACTAGGATTGATTCGAGTTGGTCCCTTCTTCTTTTTACTCTGTAGTAGTAATGCTTGTGGTTTGATTTTAGCCATGAGATGCTTCTGCAAAAAATAAAGACGAAAGCTGTCTTTGAGCAATCAAGGACAAATTATCACTAATTTACATAAGGTTCATATGAGTCAATCATTGATCAGAGTTATATGCAACCAATTTTCCCATGGGATGACAATTAAGCAACCATTGTAAGTACACAGAAAAAAAATGCTACATATATTTTTTAAAGAAAGTATGACTAACAACTCATATGCATTATATGCAGTTGGAAAAATTAAGGTCGACCTAGGTTCATAAATTGCAGAGCATCATATCAACAACGTGCTATGGCAGGAATAACTACACAAGCAACCATAATTCTAAATGATCAAAGGATCTCCTGAAAGCACACTGATTTTCAATAATGTAAAAGCTTTCACCATCAATTTCTAGTTGACTACAGGCAAGCATATTATGTTTCAGAAAAAAAAAAAGATTGATCTAACTCCAATCTGTCTTTCTTGTCATTATTATATAGTTAATTGAGTTCTAGTAAATTAAAAAACACAATAACTAAGTGCATTCATAAAATTTTCATTAAAAAATTATCCATTTTGTCAGGGTTAATACCAAATTACGTATGACAAGCATTAGCACTGTCGATCAGATTACATAGTTCGAGGGAAAAATCAGCATAGCACAGCTCACAACTTTTCTCCTATCTTCTCCTTTAATTCCTTGTTAGTTCTCAAGTAAGAAACTGGAACTGTGCTGGATCATTGATTTTCTCCTTAAAGGCAACAGGCCATATTTTTGCAAATTATCACATCTTCAACATAACCAAGCACAAGTACATAATGACTTTGATTCATATGAGTAAGCAAGCTTATAAATAAGTAACTAAAGAACCTATCTCTGTAGACTTTTGCTTCGCTTAATGTTAATTTTGATGAAAGAATTGAATATACAACTACCTCAAAAGTGCAAAACTACCCTTCTGTTTATATGACATAGCACAAAATAGTCTCATACAAGGTGCCACATGAACCCACTACTTGAAATTCCAAGTAACTAAAACCACACAAATATGGATGTGTATTTATGATGATCATCATGTAATAACTATCAGTACATGTTGGTCACGATTGAGGACATGCAAGCCGATGTGTGACTATAATAAATATCAAGATAGTAACAATTAGTCTAGAAACAAATTCCCTGAATCCTCCCCCTTATCCTTGACGGAAACAAATATCAGAAAAGCAATAATTAGTCAAGAAACAAGTTTCCTGAACCTTACTCGCTATCCTTTCCCCTTCCATCACTTGGCAATTTTTTGCTCGAATAGTTATATATAAGATGATATAATATCTAACAAACTACAAAGATTCACTTCGTCTTGTTCCTTCTTATTCTAAGCGATCAGTTCCACATCGATTAAAAAGAAACCCTCGATAAATTGCTTCTTGATTGGACAGTAAAAATTTGGTGATTACATCGATTCTTGTGGTGTTCAAACGAGTAACAAGCAAATAAATTCTTGACGACAAGCAGCACAGCCCCGACTACTTTCTTTCAGTAAATTAAATCAAGAAGATTTAAGATCGCTTCATCGGTTCGCTAATAGCAAGGGGTACAGTGGAGAACTGGACGCAAAGATCAGGAGAAGCAAACCCTCAAGATCATCTTTCAGGAAGAACTTAAATCGCTTCATCAATTCGTTAATAAAGGCGGGTAAGCATGCAGATCTTATGAATATAATACAGCGAACAGAATTAGGGATTGGCAGGTCGAAGAAATTGAGAGGGAAGAACACCGTGCAAAAGGGTCGCGCAAGAGACGAAAGGGGGACTCACAAGGTAGAGCGGCTGTTCCTCGCCTCGTTCCTTTGCCCTTCCTATTCCGGTGCGGGGATCGAACGAGAAAGAGAGAGAGAGACAGATTTAAAGGAGGGTGAAAGGGAGCGGAAGAAAAGAGGATTCGGTTTGCTTCCTACGGCGTCCAACGCGGTTGGTAGAAGACCGTCAGACGAAGAAGATTCATCCATCGCCAGCGGGAGAGGTGATGGACCGATATGCGTCGTGCAATCGTAAGTGACACCGATGCGGGTCGTGCAATAGCACGTGACATGGTGGTCCCTCTTTGAACGAACACGGGCTGATGATTTCCGGCCCAGTGTATGTGTTCTTGGATCCTAAACCGGCCCAAAAAGGTCTGCTTTTACTCACATGGTTTCCTCTGTTATCGCTCGGCTCAAGTTGGGGTTGGGTGCGTCCCCGAGCGAGGAGGAGGAGAAATAGCGAACCTGCCGTCTCCGCCCGGGTTCTGCCATCAGTGCCGCCAAGCGACGCATCTGCGAAGTCCTGCTGCACCACATCCCATCACTTCTCTTTCATGGCGATCGGCCAGTCTGTCACATCTTTCGTCTTCCATCGTCTACTTTGAGAATGTGCTTTAGCACCCCAATGCCTGACGATTCGTTCAATGATCGCCACGGGAAGAAGACGAAACAGAACCAAGTAATCCGAAAAACCTCCCGCCCCACCACCGAGAAGACTGAAAGCAGAGATGTGACGTTGCTGTGAGAGAGGAGCAGCCTGTTACCGAGGGCGAGTCCGACTATGGTTGCCCCTTCTCTTTATCGGTATACCAGCTTTGCTCTACACAGTTTGGATCTCGCAATTGTTATGATGTTAAGAACAGAACAACACAAAGCATCAGTGTGCTGCTTCAGCAGTATATATTTAGCTGCTCAACGGAAAGAAAAGCACACATGGGATTCCTCATTCTCATTGTAGAAGCATTTCATTTTACAAACACAACTGCACAAAGAACTTGGATCTTGCAAGAAATTGAATGACTTTAGTGTCTGCATATCATGATGACCGCAAAAAAAGACTTCAGTATTTGAAACCTAACAAATTGTGGCTACAATTTTGTTTCTTCTTCTTCTTCTTCTTCTTCTTCTTCTTCTTCTTCTTCTTCTTCTTCTGGATATAACACATGCAACAAAAGATTGTAGGCTTGTCCAATGATCATAATACTTCTACCGGTGTTTGACTCCAGACATGATAAATTCACTCACTACTACCGCAGTCGCAGCTGTTGTGGGGAGACTGAATCATTCCTATCTATCAGATTTGTGTAGACCATGATACTTATATTGCTCAACATAATATGCACACGGGGGGATCCTATCAGGCTGAAATCTGCCTTGCATGGCTAATGAATTGAGGTTTATTTATTGACCTCCATGGCTGCTCAAAAGCTTATCTATGCAATCCAGGTAAAAGATACATCTGTGCCACAATGTATACCGCAAGGTGTTCGCTGGTATAGCAAACTATGACCATTAAGGATGTGGAACGAAGGTGCCAACGTAACCAAACCCAACGATGAAGAAAGCAACTGCTTGGAAGAAGAGGTAGAGGTAGTAATAGTTCTTCCCAAAGGCCAAATCATAGCACCCACAGAAGACGAGGTAAGCTCCAGTCAAGAGCTCCAGCAGATGTAACCTGGTTTTGATGACGAAGGTAAACTTTAATGCAATAGATATGGGCTGCACTTAAATTTTGGTGTTTTTTTTGTGCGTGATTTGATGATAAAAAATTAGCTTTTTGTGATTTCGGTGCTGCAGGTTCATCTAAGAGAGTTGGCTGATAGGTGACACAGAATTATGGATTTACCTCTCACCGATCCTGATTCTTGGTATCTTAGCTGCTTTGGCACCCGCTTTGGTCTTCATGCCGTCCCCCAGCTTCTCAGTGACCACCCATTCATTCACTCTCCCTGCTTCCAAGAGGCCGATGAAGGTGGCTTTTGTTCTGTGGAGAGACATGACGTTCTCGAAAAGGATCCAGAACACTAGCAAGTGAAGAGACCTGTGCATCGAATTCAGCAGAGTTTCCTTGACGTCTAACCATGAATCTCGGGGAGAAGGCAGAAGAGAAGTTTGAGTCCATTCCGTACCTCGGTGTTCCGACAGCATTCAGAAGTGTTATTATGGAGGGAATGTAGACTAAACCCCACTTTGGTACTTGTACCTCGGGGACCAAAACAGTTGCAGGGATCACGACGCAGTAAAATATGAAGGTCACGATGTGAGCGACGATCTTCCGAACGAAGAAGAAGCTGTAGATCACATGAACTTTCGTCCACAGTGTTACTTTCTGTATCATCAAAGAAGGTATATAAACTGATCATAATTCATAGAAAGGTGACTCTGTCTTTTCTTCAATCACCTGACATAATGAAAAGGGAACCGACCTTGTTCTTGGCAATCTCCAGCACCATTTTCCTAAACAAGTTTGCCGGTCCGCAAGACCATCTATGTTGCTGATAGCGGTAGGCCGTAAGAGTACTCGGCAGCTCACTTTTAACCTGAACTCAGGGATTCAATAGAAATCATGAAATGAACTGATGAGAAGACCCCCCAACTCGATAAAGCAACATCAAGTTTGACAGCAGATATCTGTATATAGCTCTAATATTATACTCAGATGATCACAACAACAAATACGCACTCTGAGATCACCAAGGAATATGAATTTCCAGCCCTTGAGGCTCGCTCGAACAGCCAAATCCATGTCTTCGACCGTGGTGCGGTCCTTCCAACCTCCGGCTTCATTGAGAGCGTTAATCCGCCACACCCCGGCAGTCCCTGTGAAGAGAACCGAGTCAACAATGTGCTTAACATTGAGATAAAAGGCAGCCTTTCCCAGTAATCGATGTACGAAGAACTCACCGTTGAAGCCGAAGAAGGCGTAGGTGGAGGAACCCACTTCCTGCTCCACAGTGAAATGGTAATCCAGAGACATCTCCTGCATCCTCGTCATCAAACAGTCATTCGAGTTCACTGCGTTGCGCATTGTAAGGTTTGGTTAGAAGAATCAACGGACCCCTATCCATTCAAGACTATTCTGCAGTATAACGAGTGACCGACAAGTAAAGTCAATTGCTGCAGAAGATATTGCTCTTCCGTATAACCTTACAGTATAACAGTACATTTATACCAAGCTCAAAACATGGGACCATTTTCCTTGTTCCATATATTTGGAATGTGGCCACAGCCACACGCAAAGATTCATGGGTGACATGGAAACCACTTACTGACACAGGTGATGGGATCCACACAAACACGTGGCCCAAAAGTAGCCATGTTACTTTCTTGGTCAAAATTATAGCAAGCTGATGAAGGATCCTATTAAGGTCTAAATGTATGAAAGCACATTTAAATTATATATTTGAGTATTTTATTTCAGGAATTTTTATGAGTTCTCAGCAAAGGGTGATACGGTGGTCTACGAAAATGAGAAAATTATATACATAGCACTGCAATTATATTTAGCAATTTCATTTGCGAATTGACACCGTAGGAGCCAACTGGATGCGACTCAGACCCAACCACGGTCATTTGCAAGGCAATCATAGGTTAGACATCAATAATGGTGTGGTGTGGCTGATCCGTCTCGATCAAGATGGAGTTCAAACAACGAACCTTTACCGACTACGTGGGTCTCATGCTCTACTGATGCGTTGGGCGTCCCTACGGTGGTACATTTGTCGCTATAACTATTATTGGTGGGCCTCTTCAATTGTCAACCAGTTTCAGGAGGTCCACAAGTCTCAATATACGTTAAAATATTATTATGTTTTTCTTCGAAGAGAAATAAAAATAGTTTTTACAGGTAAAATAAATATGGTAAAGTATGCTGAGTAACTGCTATTTGCTTTTAGGGGTGAAGGCAGGTGAAAGGTCTTAACGAGATCTATTATTATACTAAGGCAAAACAATATAGAAAAGGATAACCCAAAGAAAACCTTCAGACGAACGTTCAGAGGAAGGCGTCTGAGAAGGGCATTGGATTCTAAAGGGAGAATGGGATGGTAGGTAAATCCAGGCAGAAAGATACGTTAGATAGAGAAAATCTAATAAAGAACGATCACCGACACTCTTTCTTCCTCCAACCAACTTACTCCCCGTGATTGAATCGAGGCCCGTCGTACTCGTATCATTTGAACGATGTGATATATGATTCTCCTCTCTCACTAATAGAGATTTTGACTGCTCGGAGTGAAGCAGCAGCAGATGTTTCACTGGAGTGGAGTTGCAGAAGAGAGAAGAAGATTACCAAATTTCCAGCGTCCTTGGACGAGGCCGATCCGGGGGTTGTGCTCGAGGAAGGGGATGGTGCGCCAGAGGAAGTCGGGCTCGGGCTGGAAGTCGGCGTCGAAGATGGCCACGTAGTCGCAGTGCTTCACGTAGCTGTGCTTCATCCCCTCCTTGAGCGCCCCGGCCTTGTAGCCGTTCCTGTTGTCCCTGATCTCGTATTTGATGTTCACCCCTTTGCTCGCCCACCGCTGGCACTCTATCTGGACCAGTTCCTGCCATGCACACCGCCACCGTCCATGTTTGATGTAAGATGTCATTGCCAAACTTTAGGTGCCATGCAATTATGTATCGTAAAATCTGGACCGACAATAAGTCAGATGATCACACAAAATACACTGATGAAATGGATTCAGGATGAGCTTATTTGTCAGAGGGCCCTGTTGAAGATACTACTGCTGCAGTAGAGAAATGAGAGGAACTGTGAGAATGTACAGGGCAGAGAGTAGGATGTGAAGTTGTTGTTTTGCTATTGTTTCCGTGAAAATGAACCTGGAAACATTGTTCTTATTTACTGATAAGAAAAGGGTCGACGAGTTTTTTCTGGACGAAATTAATGCTCTGAGGAAGTATCACATGGAGCATTTTATGTAGTAATTACTGATGTTAACTGATAGCTACATATATGAACATATAGATGGAAAATTTGAGAGAATAAGATGGAGGATTTACGCTTTAGATCAACTACTATCTCAAAATTAAGTCTCCTGTGTTGGTTCGATGCAGTGAAGAGTAGCTACCTTGATTGCCGGATCTGTGGAGTCGTCGAGCACTTGGATTATGATACGATCCGATGGCCATGAAAGACCGCATGCAGCTCCAATGGAGAGCTGGTAGACCTGTAAAAGTAGATTACAGTTAATGCATGTACGTTGTGGAGAGGGGGAAGGAACAGAGCGAGATGCTGAAACTGGCAACCAAAAAGGAAACAAAGGACACCTCTTTTTCGTTGTACATGGGGATTTGGATGAGGACCATGGGGTAACCGGCATTGCCGAGCTCGGGATCGTCCCCCATGGGCTCACATTTGTAGCGCGTCTCGGGCCGCCACCGGAAAAGCTTGACGAGGACGATGACGACGGCCATGTACACCTTCTCCACGAAGAGCATGACGGACATGACCAGGCACAAGAACACGGAGAGCCGGAGCAGGGGGACGACCACCGGCGTCCTGATCTGCTCCCACACGATCCCCATCTGCTGCGTAATGTCGTCCCTCGTCCCCTGGAACGCCTCCGGGAGAATGGCCGTCGACGAAAGCCTATCCATTCCTTTCTACTTCTCTTCTTTCCTTCGCTCTCCTACAAAGCGGTGGAGAGCAGAGACGGAAAGAAAGAACAGAGGAAATGCGGACTGTCGGTGCTTGGCGCAGCACTACTTCGAAACGGACTTGGAAATAACAGAGGAATAGAAACAAGAGCAGAGCCCTTCTCCTCCTAGTTAGATCCACGGGAACCAGGACGACAGCGAGAGATCGAAAGCGGTAAGCCGAAGGTGAACCACGCTGCTGGTCTTATATTGTCGGAATTGGGCGTCCTTCACAGTGCGCTTAGCCCTGCTCACGTCTCTTTTCCTCCTCCCCTAGTAATGTGACGGTAGTCGGCAAGAAAAAGGACAGGATGCAGAGGAGGGAGAGACGAGCAGGCAGAGACGCAAGGGTCGCGAGCACGAGCCTTAAATAAACCCCTCCAATAAAAGGAAAGGAGAGAAAGGACACGTCCATGGTTTTTTATTGTAGTTTAATATACGAACCGTAGAAGGAAGAACAAACAAGAAAAAGGACCGAAGACCGACCAGTGCAGCACATCCCCTCCTTGCTTCTTAGAACCTCTCAAACTGAGACACTCCCATCCTTTCTATCAGTAACAGCACCATTTGTCATATACACAAACACTTTTCACTGCTGATAGCAAAAACTACCATTGAATCATGCTGTCATTTCAAATTACTTTCAATTATAAACTTACATATTTATCATTTTACGTAAATTTTGATCTATGAAATACAATCCAACTAATGGCGATGGACAGTCCACATCAATACATCTGCAAAAACAAATAAAAGCGACGGGCAGTCCATAGCATCGAAAGTTTCCAGCAAACTCTTTCTTTTGTAGAGTAAGCACAAGGTTTATATATGTGCCTCTCATCTAATCAACTCATTAATTTAGGTATGCTTACAATGAGAAGTGAAACATATCAATCGATCTTAGCGTATAGACAGAGAATAATCTTTCTATAGTACACATGCATTCCCTTCCAAACAAAAGGCAAATACACACACACTATACATAAGGTCAACGCATGCATCGTTTTCCTCATTTCGATGTAGTTTTTCGCATTGGTCATTGTCAAAGTAAATCTTTCTAATACGGAGCACAAGCTTTGACAGAGAATTTAGCTAACGTACAAACAGTAAGATCTGTAGTTGTTTGATCCAAACAAATCGTTACACTGAAAATTGCAGCCACAACACCACCTGGGGCACAATAACAAATGGACATGGTCTGACGATTACGACCGGACTCCGCCACCCACATGCATCCAACACCGTCTTTGCGTGCGCGGTAACAGAAGGTGGATACATGCGTAGAACGGAACGTAGTTTTGGCCGCGCATGTTGTCGGTGGGGCGTAATTGTCACTGATTGGGAGATCATTTCTTTTCTAGTGGCATTGAAGATTGGGTGATTACCACATCAATTCATATTTTATATCTTAGAAGAGAGAGAAGAAGTAAACAGAAAGGGGTTCCAGCTGCCAGATTATTTCATAAAGAGAATATGCTTCATCTAAGTAGAGAGTAGAAAATCAAGGTCTCATTAGAGTCAAAAGTTACTTCTATCCTTATAGACATCTCCTTCTTGAGGTCCAAGAGATCTCAATTCATAGATTGAGGAGCATAACATGGACCAGCTTCTTCTTCTTCTTCTTCTTAAAAAGAGTGGGCATGCAATCTCAAACTTGGTGCACTTGAATATGTTCCAGGAGTCTGTAAAGCAACTTAACACTTATTATATGATACAGCGGCGGTGAAGGTTGAACCTACTTTAGCTATAATTATTTTATATCTCATTTGTGGTCGATTTATAATCCTGTATTCTTGGTTTTGTACAAGTAGACCATTTATTTTATCTAACAGGCACGTTTCAGGACCTTAATATTATATTAATTAACCCATTTTTTCCCTTATATGCAATGCCTTTGAGGTTCCTCTAATTTTCTTGGGTAGGAAGACGCTGTTCAAGGTGTAATGCAAGGTCGAAGCAACAGCCTAATTGCACCCACCTAGTAATTAAGGTGGTGCTGGAGAGCATATTCTAGTGCAATTCTCAAGGATTGCCGACAGTTTAGTAGGTAGGAGAAGATGCTCGAGGCATCAAGAATTCACTTGCGTGGCGTCACATCTCCCATCTACACTTCCTTTGGATTTCTTAGCTTCCTTGTGCTCACAGAATTAATTCCACGGGATCCAAAGTCGTTTATCGATCACATTGCTTGCTGTTAAGCCAATGAAAGAAGAGCCCGAAGAGGTCTCCTTTGTTTCCTTTGTCCATTTCTGTGCTGGTGTACCTTTTTCTGTGCGAGATTCGATTCTGCAAGCGGCTCCACATCGTCACGCTCAGTAGATTTGAAGCTAGCTGAGGGTGCGTGTTGTTAGCATCTCCATGAAGAACACGCCGCCGGTTATTTTTTTGCTTAGGGAAACATGGCGTTCGGTGCGGTCTCAAATGGAGGACGACGACTAAAACGACAGCTTGAAGGTTTTAGCTTGTAGCAATGCTGTATACACCGACAAGATTACACTCAGGAGGAGCACCTGAGCCACGCAGACTCAACCAAGAAATGATCAAAGCGTTCAAAGCTTATATGTCGTGGTGGGCTTAGTTTTGATCTTAGAAATATATTTACAGGACGTGACATGATGTAGCACATAAAGAGAACTAAGGATTCTCCATATGGTGTGACATAATATGATTAGCTTCGCTTAAGGTTTATAAGGGGTGGTGGGAACCCCTGCTGTCTGTGCCTATCCCCGAAGGTCGCAGATTTGATTAGTAATGTCTTTATCATTGATTTCGGCCAGCAAATGTGAGAATGTATAGTATTTTAGGCTGACAAGAAATTGTATCTTCATTTCGGTATGGATACAAATTTGATGTAGACATAAAGATTGCATGATTCATATATGTCATCAGCGATAATAACTCAGAGCCATTAATAATGATAAGAACAGGAAAGAACACATAAAAGAATAAAGTGTGTCCCTAATTACTCAGTCAAATAATAGCTTTCTTGTTGGTGTTTCAGACCTTATTCCTAAACTCATAAGAAAGTTTGCACATGATATAAATACTAATACATTGTGAATACATATTTATTTATCTAACTAAAATATTTCTCTTTGCTATCTCTCAGAAAAAAAGAAAAAAGAAGAGGAAAAGATATCTTACTCATATACTAATAGTCTGAATGAACATGACCTTTCACCCGCAACAAGTGGACCAAGTTGCAGCATTTGGTAGGAGGAGGGGAAAAGAGATGCGTCAGAGAAAGAGAGATGTAGGCACCATTTTTATGTCGACAAAGAATTAGCTGTCTTTACTTTTAGTTCAGCAACTCACTTTAGCTAAAGGCTACCGGAAGAAGACTAATCTACTGGATTTTGATGCATGCCATTTTGATGGTAAAATAATGGGGGGGAAAGGTGGAAAAGAAGACACAAGCATATCGCTTTGATGATGTTATCATCATGAGTTGCGATGGAGTATTCCAATACAAGAATCTGCAAGTTTTGACAACATTAGTACATGAACCCAGCAATCTAATTTCAAGTGGAAAATTATTTATGAGTAAAATTAAAATGTTTATTGTTTTTATGTTCGAAGTAGCACTAAAAAAAGAGAAATAAGAAAAAACAATGAAAAGAAAAGGCTTCTGTGGAACAAAAGGCATCATGGCCCATGATGCTCATCATGCGCATAAAACAAGCAAATTTTGATGCTGTTGCATCTTTGGATTTATGTTTTTATTAGGACGTGAATCTCCTAACAACTGAGTTCTTCTTGGAGCCGACTTGATGATTGAGTGCATCTCGATCAATAATTATACTAGAGAGTGATCTGTGCTGAATTCGGTAGGGAGGAACATATCCTGAAGATTGTATTGTATGTGTGTGGTGCATATAAGAACTGAATCCACGCAGAGATATATTGTTTGATTATCTCATGTTAATTACTAACAACACTGTAGCTTTCATCAAAGCAGAGAGGCCTTAGAAGCACACTATATTATACGTGATGGTGGTATATTCCTCTTGCCGCAGGCTAAATATGGCTTCTCAATCCAGCAACTTGCCAAAGCTTCATACCGACAAGGTGTTCCTGTAGGGGTGCTTCTTCTAACTAAATTGTGGGCACGATGGAATCGGGACAAAACAACCGAGTATTAAAGAGAGTAAACATCACATAAGCTTTCAAGCAGCAGCTGCAGAGAGTCCTACAGCCAGGCTAGACGTATACCGCCGGTCTCATATTGGTTGTGATGTCAATTCAGTGGGTATGCCATCCATTTCTCCTTCCGAGCAGGAGAGTAGCATCATGAACTAGAAGCTAAGAAGATACATTATTGGGTTTTGGTAGAAGAAAGCAGGCCGCAGACATGGTGGAAAAAGTTTGCCTGATTGAGTAGCTCAGTGGCTTGGAGTTGGTACGTGGCTTTCATCATTTTGGTGGTCTATCGCTGTATTCCAGATGATCAATATGGTATTCAAGTCTGTCAATGGATTGGGAAATGAAATTTCTGCATGATTAGTTTTCTTCTCCTTCTTCTTCTTCTTCCTCCTCCATTTACAACCGACATGAGGCGAAGACTCGTTCGAACAGAGTGCACAGATAGACAGTAATAATGAATGCAGATATCAGAGAGCACATTCCGATTCTCAAAGCAGATTCAATAATGAGAGACGGAAGAACCAAACCATGCGTCCTCATGTGGAAATCTGTACAGAACCTTTCTTCCATAGAAAATATTTTAGAGTACGCAGCGGGTGTTTACATTTCGTGTCGTCCGAATAATAATGGAGGCACAGCACAAAAAATTCACAGATGATGGTTTTGTATTGACTAATCAACAGAATTAGAGGGTATTATATCTCTGTCACTGACGCATTAAGCTGCCCAATCCTTGATCTTGTGGTGGCTTCATCTTTTGTAGGCCCCTTGTGTGGATTATGGAGTTGAGTGCCGTTTAGGTTGCAAATACCTTTCAATTGTAGGAGCCACTTCAAGAGTTTGTGTGTGTGTGTATATATATACACATATATATATAGTTCATATAAATATTCAATATCAAGGTCAAATATCTAATCATTGGCACTGTTAGGATGTGCTTTTAGTAAACCTTGCTTGTCTACTCTTTGTTGGTTCATCCGTCTCAACCAATGACCCAAAAGATAAAAGAAAAGGACATTGTCGAAGAAAGAGAAGCGGTGAAGCTGAGGAGAAGGCAGCAGCAGGCATTGACAGCATCACTGAGACGAAGACCCGTTCCATATTGGCGACGAATTCAACACCGACCCTGTCATCTTCATGGTGCCTTTTGGCTAATCGAGCTTTACTAATGTTCTAAAGATCGTACCCGTATTAGGTGAGTCAAT